TGGGCCTGTTCTGATGGCCATCGGGGGGAATTTTGGTGGGATTTGGGTTTTACCCTGGGCAGAGGGGTTCACCCGGTGCTGCTCAGCCCCTGCAGGACTCCCTTCCCGGCGGCTGCCCCTCTGCTCGGCGCCCAAGGGGCCGTCTCAGGCATCTCCTTTGGATCTGCTGTTTGAATTTTGTAAAGTCCCCACCTCAGCACCGCTGTCAGTGGTCATCAAATCGAATCAAATCGAATCAAATCATACAAAATAATAAGACGTGCAGTTGATTCTAATTAGTGTGTTTTCTCATTTGCGGATTGACGTTCTCTGGAGAGCAATTAGCCTACTTTAAAGGTAGAAGACAAACACTTCTTAAACGTGCCTGGCGACTGACGTCTAAAACCCAAGAAGCCAGAAGTAACAACGGAGAACCCGCACAGTTTCCCACTGCGAGGATGGCCTCAGCTTGTCCCCCATCTATTTTCCACAACACCAGAGCTGCACCGCTTTGGGATCGCAGTTGGAGGAACGCAGAACAGATGACACTCACCACAGATGTGCAGGAAAACCAGTATGGTTCCCCATCCGATAACGCCGGAGCCTTTGTTTTCCCCCAGGCTTGCCAACAACTGTCCCAGGTCCTTGGTTTCCCAGTTCTCCCAGTTCTCCCAGCAGGGACAACGATGTGCCGTCCACCTGCGACCTGCAGCAGCGCAGCCTTTCTTTGCTGTGGGAGCAGGAGATGCGTTGCAGTGCAGCGCAGGACATGAAACACACAGCCTTCGGGTTGCTGTGCAGTCCCAGGCTTCAGATCTTCAATGAAGAAAACTTCAAACGCCTCCTTCTGCCTTTTTTTTCCCCCCCATTAAAGCACTGGGCGCTGATGCCTGCGGCAGCCGTCTGTTGAAGTGGGGGACTTGTACCCTTGGCTGCCATCCCCAGGAGGGATGAAGGGCTCTGGGCACCCTGCCCTGCTGGGAGGTGTCCCTGCCCATGGCAGGGGGTGCAGTCGGATGATCCTGAAGGTCCCTCCCAACCCAAAGCACTTTCTGATTCCGTGGAGCTCACCAGCACGTGTCCTGCCTCATGGCTTCACGCCTGTCCCACCAGCTGGGTTTTGGGGTGCCAGGGGGATGCTTTGAAATGCGTGGCTCTGCTGGGTTTCCAGTGCCAAAACGAGGAGGATGGATGGCTCCAGCACCAGAAATGTAACAGCAATAAGAACTGACAGCATTTGATGGTATTCTGCCTGGGAAAGTGTCTACAGGCTGGACTGAAACATCTTCTAGAAGGCTGATTCCCAGATCTGGTTCCCGTTGTACTAACTGCTGCACAAACATGGCATAGAAACGAGGTTTTCAGGAAGAAAACGCATGCAAACAAACCCAACCCTAAACTGCTAAACCTCAGCGTGTGTCCAACAACCCGTGGCATTGCAGGGTGGGATCTGTGGGCTTCCCTGCCTGGGGAAGGGAGCAGCACGGTCCCTGCCTGCACTCACCATGCAGGCAGTGCTCTGACGGGCGCTGGGGGGACGTGGCAGTGCTGGGAGCTGTCGGTGTGTCAGACCTCGCAGCCACCTCTTATCTGCCCGCAGAGCTGGGGAGGCGAGGCAAGGAGGACGAGGGAGCTGTGATGTGAATAGACAAAGAGGCAATGCCGAGGAGAGGTCGTTAGCACCAGCCCAAGTGAGCAGCAGCAATTCATCTCCCCGGCGTCGGAAATAACTTCCCAAGCTGGGCGGGGGCAGAAACGGTTTCAAGAGACAGCAACAGCAGAGACCCTTCAGTTTTACTATCTCTGATGAAACTTGTTTATAGGTATATAAAAGTGGGAACCGTTTTGTTGTTGACTTTTTATAGCCCGTTGCCTTTCTGTATCTCACCAGAGTAAAGCCCCGGGGAAGGTCCTGGCGCAGCCCCGCAGGCGATGGTGCTCCCTGGGGAGCACAGGGAGGGCCGCAGGCATTTTGCAGCCCCCCCAAACCTTCCCCTGCTGTCACGCCGGCTGCTACAGCTCCTTTCCTGGCACCAGCAGTGCTGGGGAGAGACAGGGAGAGAGCAGCACAAGGGGAGGTGGCTGGGCCGGTGGTGGGGCACCGTGCCCAGGGCAGCTCCTTATCTCTTGGGGAGCATTCGTCTGCCTCGACTGTGTGACTGCCTCCCTCCCAGCAGCGTCTCACCGCGTTCACTGCCGATGGATTTTTGTGATTAGAAGTGGTGAATTCGGCGAGAATTGCCTCATGTTGTTTGCTGCAAAAAAATAGCAGGTGTCCAATGTCTTTTGTTTCAATGGAAAAACTGGGTTTCTGCCTGGAAGTGTAAAGGCCGTTTTATGGACTTTAAAAGAATCCAAAGTGAGGACAGAGAGAGAAAAGGCTTGGCTTTCCTGCGAGCTGGTGGGAGCCTGAGCTCCCTCTGCTTTCACCATGGGCAAGGAGAATCCTTGTGTGTAAATACAACCGGGGGAAATATTTCCTGTAAATATGTGCAGTGACCATTTTGAGGGTGAATGTACAATTTTCAGAACTGGTGATGACTTCACCGTGTTGCTAACCTAAGGGCAAGGGAGGTGCGTTTGCCCCGACACTTTGCAGTAGATTGCCTAGCTTAGTTTTAACCGTGGTTGGTTGTGGGGCACACACGGGGTCCCCAAAACCCTGTGATCCACAAACTGATGCCACGTCCCTCATCCTCTCTGCAGCACGAGCTGCTATTCTCCATTTTGCTAAAATGGAAGAGCTGCAACAATTATTTTCGTAATTAGCTGGCTTTTCAAATTAATGCCAGTTATGCTATGTAATCATGATGAAGATTATGCATTAATCAGCTGTTTCAAGCCGGTTATTAGGCTCTTTAAATAATGATTGCAATGAGCAGCTCTGAAGGAGAGAGGCAGGAGCCAGCGAGGAAGGGAGGCTGCTCGCGACGCGGCGGCTGCAGCGCGAGATCTGCCATCAGATGCTCCCCTTCCCGCCGCGCCTCCGAGAAAAAGAGCAGTCTGTTGCATGCGGTGGCTGCTTTTAACACCTTAGCAAATGCCAGAGATTTCACATTGTCCCGCTATTTTCAGCACCCAGCAGTGTAGCCAGAAATATATTGCTTGTGCCTGTCTGCTCGCTCGCTGCCTGGTGCTAAATTCAAGCTATTGGGTGGCTGCACAGAAAATCCTTCTCTGTCGAGAAGCCTATTACATCCAATTGCATGTCTGGGAGGTGAATTTATTTGGGCTCAAGCACCAGTAACCCCCATACCCGGCCCTCCTGTATCCATCATCACAAGGCATGCTGCACAGCAGCCCTGCGAGCTCGGGGCTGGGAGGCTGCCCAACGCCAGCTGCTTGGGAATCAGCACAACACAACCCCGTTAGCGCTTCAGGATGATGCTGGAAAACAAAAAATGCTTTGCTAAAATGTTCTGGACAGCAAGGCTTTGTACAGGAAGGATGAATCTCATGCTCACTTTATTTCTGTTTATTGTTTCTGGTGTAATATAGAGCACGAACCTTCCCTACCTTATGAAACTTGGATGAGCTACCAGCATACACAAACACTGACGTGGATGAATCATTTCCTGTGCACCAGTCAATACCCAAAGGTTTCAGCGTGATACAGTGAGAATGAGGCACCTGGACAATTTTTCCAGGCTCCTGTCTATATTGCTCGGCATTCTGGATTAAAAATGTGGTCAGAAGGGATTTGTTGAAGATCACATGGGATTGAAAGGAGGCTCCAGAACAAGCACCCAGCCCCTTTTTCTCTACTCTTTCCCTATTGCCCATGTTAGTACTGAGATCAAAAACATTTCTTCCCATCAGAGACATGCAGTGAACACCTCAATCGTTTCTGCACGTTTATCAGTGGAGATTAAGCACCATGTGCTACAGCTGGGGACACAGACACACAAAGTGTGCAGGGAAGAGGGGAAGCAACTTGCCGTGATCACAGCGGGTGCTTCCTCCAACCTCCCTCGTGTCCTCGCTGTGCAAAGTGCCGTTGGTGCTGAGGCTCCTTCAGCCCCGGCTTCGGGTGGGTTCCTGCAGGGGGTGCCGAGTTTGGCTGCTGACAGCATCGTCAGCTTGCCTCTCGGCACAGCGGCAGCCTTGGCTAATGCCAAATTGCCACAAGAAGTATGGCTCACGCCTTCTGGCTCCTGGAGGAGGATTCCTGCAGTTGCCTGAAAACTAGGAGGGCTGACTAGACATCTGTTGTCTATAACAAAACATTTTAGGACTACCTTAAATTGAAGAGGAAGATTTTCTTTCTGCTAATGAACCCAGAGACCATCTGTTACCAATTGCACTTGCTTATCTCGCTCATCCATTAATTATTTTGGTTTACTTTTTAATAAGACAGAGTGAGGTTTATGTGTCTTTCCGTGGTTCTGGAAGGGGCACGGGACTGTGCCGAGGCAGAGACAAGGACGTCCAATTACATAATTTACGCCTGCACTGAGTCACTTCAATTAGACCGGCTGTCTGTGGGGAATTGAGGACGAGACTTAGAGCCACAGAGCCGAGAAGCGCAGCAATCCTCCGACATGAGCTTGTTGCCCTTGGGGAGGTGCAGTGGCATTAACAGCTCCCGAACACTGGGAAGCGTGCATCCAGGCATCCAGGATGTACATTACTGAGCAGCGGAGCTGTAGGGTTGGCAAATTCAGAAGTCTCTGCTGGTCTGAGTTACAAACCTAGATAAGCCGGCAGGAGGAGGGGCAGAAGATGCGAAAGGCACTAAAAAGGGCTCCAGGGCAGCCAGCAGGGACAGGGGCAGCTCTAAGCACAGGGGCCCTGAGCACAGGCCCCACAGTGCCTTCACAGCAAAGCTGGCAGTCCGAACACTGCCATGAACCAGCACGTAACAAAACCCCAAATGTTTTCATGTCCTTACTCAGAGGGGGACGTGTCCTTGTTCAGCTGGCAAATGTCACGGGTCCAGCCAGGGCTCTTCTTGTCCTTGTGACACCAGGGGATGAATCCGGCTTCCCCCAGCTCACTCCTGCCTCTCTCTTGTCTTCCAGGAGGAATCTTCGAGTACACAGATGGCCCCAACACCCAGGTTATGAGTGCGGAGGAGCAAGCCTTCCGATTTTCCGCCAATATCATCAACAGGAACAGAACCTTGCTGCCTAACACGACGCTGACCTACGACATTCAGCGGATACACTTCCACGACAGCTTTGAGGCAACCAAGAAAGGTAAGAGCACGGCACACGCCTTGCAGCTTGGTGGTGTTTGTTCAGCCCAAACCCACGTGGCTTGGCTCGACCCCAGCACCGTCCTGCTCCGCTCAGCGCTCCCGGTTAGAAGTCTGCCCAGAGCTGACCTTCCCCAGGCATTTTAGTACAAGGAACAACCATTTTTTCCTTTTTCCTCTGCAAACCTCACACAGCTCCTTTCAGCATTTGCTTCTCATCCCGAGCAAAGGTCTGCAGGCCTGTGACCGTGCTTATTTTATTGTATCCCCAGCAATTTGCACACCGCTGGTGCAGGAGGTACCAGAGGGGAGGGCAGGAGCAGGACTGCACAGCACCAGCATGACCTGGGGGCCTGGAGAGCATTCTTCTGCTCTGGCAGCACCCAAAGGTGCTGTGGGAAAGCTCCGTGGTAGCTCCCAGTTCGGAGGGAGGCTGCAGAGGGAATGGAGAAATTGTGCTCCTGTGAAAAATTTGCACTTTTTTTTTCTTTTCCTAAAAATGCCTCCAGCCCTAACTGCAGGTTGTTCTGCTTTAATTTCTCAGTGAGAGCCACAGAAAGCATTATTCTGCAAAAAGCAAATTCTATTAAACGTGATGTGAAGACGCATTTGTCAGGGCGACGCCGATTGCCTCCGTGTTCACACCAGGCAGGGCCCCGCTGGCTGCGCTCCCCGGGCAGCCCCTGCCCTGCTGGCACTGAGCTGTAATCGCTCCCCGGAGCACACTCAGCTAAGATCGATGGCAATACTTGCCTAAACGTGGCTCAGGACAGGCGGTGTCAGTCCCCCAAGGATGGTTTCATCCCCGCAGAGCGGATGAATGGCCCATGGTCATGGCTCAGCCCCATGCTGCTGAGGAGCGCAGCGGTGCCGGTGGCCTTGGCCCAGCTTCTGCTGGCTGTGAGCATGGGAGGGAGGGGGACACCAAAGGTTTGGGAGCTCGGTGATAAATCAGGAGCAGCTGGGGAGCTGCAGGAAGAGGCTGAGGAAGGAAGAAAGGGCAGGCAGCCTTCTGAACACGTGCAGGAGGATGGAGATGTAGGAGATGTACCTTGGTCATGTTTCTGGAGGCTCAGCCAGCTCCAGCACCATCCTTATGTCCACGGGTCCAGAGCCTGCCCTCCTCCCTCTTCCTGCCTCTCTTCACTGCTATCACCACCCGGTATCTTCACTGATAGAGCCCAGGACCTTGTCTGTCCGTTTGTCAGTGCCCCCGTGTCCCCCAGAGCTGCCTCGTGCTTCTCTGACCTCCTTTTCCCTCCTCCAGCCTGCGACCAGCTCGCCCTCGGGGTCGTAGCGATATTCGGCCCGTCCCAAGGCTCCTGCACCAACGCCGTCCAGTCCATCTGCAATGCCCTGGAGGTCCCCCACATCCAGCTGCGGTGGAAGCACCACCCGCTGGACAACAAGGACACGTTCTACGTCAACCTGTACCCCGACTACTCCTCGCTCAGCCACGCCATCCTGGACCTGGTGCAGTACCTGAAGTGGAGGTCAGCCACCGTGGTGTACGACGACAGCACAGGTAGGCAGAGGGGGAGCTTTTAAAGGGGGGAGCCAGGGTTTTGTTGTTGTTGTGGGTCCCATTTAGGAATTTTTCTAAGGAACCCTTTAAGGGGCAAAATGACATCATGTGCACTAATCCCTGGGACCCTTTCTGAAGCATTTTATTCATCAGCCCACTTGAGAAATGGGTAAAGCCTCAGGCACCAGCTCCACCAACAAAGGGTCAAGGGGAGGATTAAGTGTCTGGGGCACGCTGCCCCCACCCTATTGTACAGGGCACCCCCGTGCCAGCAAGGAACCCGCTCCGTGCCTGCCACTGAGGATGCAGTTTCCCAGCTAAAAGCACAAGTGGTTCTGGAAAGTTTTTTTTTGTTTTCTGGCTAATTCTCTAAAACACAGCTGACAAAGTTTTTCACATGAAGAATGCTGTTGATGCTTAAACAAAGCAAAGTGCTGCACAGCACTGCAGATAAAAAGAAAGGGGGAGAAAAAAAAAACAGAAACAAAAGACACATTGGGTAGCCTGTCCAACCTAATTCCACTAAACCAAATGGTTTCTTTAGGGGAGGGCTGATGAGAACACAGTTTGACATTCCTGTTTTGCAAATGTGGGTCACAGTATGTTCCCTTCATGGCATATTCTAATGCATTTCTTCTACTATGCACAGGGACATGCTTCTATTTTCCTCCCTGCAATAGGCATCTGTTGAATTTCTTCTTGCAACATTAGATACCAATAATTCCTGTGCAGCTGCATCCAGCCTGGCTTTGTACCTTCTGCATAAAATAGAAATGAATTCCGAGGGCAGCAAGACAGTTACAAGTTGTGATTAAGTGACCGTTATGAACTATGCTATTCATAAATCTAAGTGCTTTTTCTTTTTTTTTCCCCCCTTTCCTGTTGTATATGGTAAATAATGTGGATTTTAATTTGTTGTGTAGATGATTATCACAGCTTGTCCTTTCTCAAGGGCATATCGCTAAACAAAAAACCAGCGTGATGACAGAGATGGCAAAGGTTAGGATGGATCTGCTGCTCTCCTCTTCCTACCCAGCGCAAGGACCCCAGCTCTGCATCAGCTGGGTGCAGAGGCAGCAGGAAAATACCAGGAAAAGCCAATCTGTCCCAGGATAACCATTCTGGAAATCTGCATGTGTGTTTTTTAATGATTGATGCACAGCTTTATCTTGCTATGTCTTTAGCAATGGCCATTTGGGCAAGGGAGCAAAGTCTTGATGGTTTCCATACAACAACCAGAAGAAAACCCTGTGCCCTGCTGTCCCGTAACGCTGTCCCTTTGTCTTTGTGCCATGCCTGAAGGCCTGATTCGGCTGCAGGAGCTGATCATGGCCCCGTCGAGGTACAACATCCGCCTGAAAATCCGCCAGCTGCCGCTGGACACGGACGACGCGCGGCCGCTGCTGAAGGAGATGAAGCGGGGCCGGGAGTTCCGCATCATCTTCGACTGCAGCCACCTGATGGCAGCTCAGATCCTCAAGCAGGTGAGCGGGGCCGGTGGGGGCCGTGGTGGCTGCTGGAACGGGGCAGGGGACAGCCCCACGGGTGGGTGTGCGGACCTACAGCTTTCCTTTTGGGTACGACGGGTGATTTTACTCCTAGACCCCACAGCGCAGCCTTTGAAACCAAGGGCTGTCTTATTGCAGTTGGGAATGAGGCACCAGCGAGAGCTCAAAAAGCAGCAAAGTCAAGGTTAGGGTTACGTCTCGGCATTCCCAGCACGAAAGCCCCATCCTGGTTAAGACAAACACCTCAGTATTTCCTTTTTTATGAGCGTGAGCCAGAGCGCAGGTAACGGGCTGCTAATAGATGTGGTGAACAAAACCAGCCCACGCCTTTTTGATCAAAACCTGCCATTTTCACCCAGTGTAATTTTACAAGGATATGACTGGATTCTATAAAAAAAATAATATGTAGATTTCAATGAAAAAACACATCGCAGAGAGACAGACCCCTGGTAAGAAGGAGCAAACGTCAGGGGAGCAGCCGGTGTGCCAGCCCCGCGCCCCCAGCCCATCCATTGGGCCCCCTCTGTGGCTGCTCATTTAGCCTGACACGAGCTGTTTATGCTCACTGATTTTAAATTTCTTCTCTCCTTTCTGTGCTGCCGCATGCCCCGGGGCTGTGACTGCACGCAGAGGGGCAGGGTGTGACAGCTTCGTGTTGGTGCTGTGCACGGGGCTGTGCTCGTGGTCCTGCGCCTGGCTGCAGCAGGAGCGGGGCAGCACAAGGAGTGGCTGCGTGCCCTGGGTGCTTCCCAGCACCGCGTGCAATTCTTGCACTTTAAGCCAGATGTCAGTGATTTTCCGTTCGCTGGCCTCCCGTCCACCTTTCCCTTCTGCCACCGGCGCTTCTCGCAGACCGGGAGGTTTGCTGCTTGCCCTGACCCCTCGGACCTGAATGCCAGCACACTGTGGGGTCACTGCGAGACGGGAAAATGGTCCCAAAAAAGGCTTAAAAGCAGCCAGCGGAAGAGCTGCTCTGAGCAGCTCAGCAAGACGCTGCCACACAGATTAAATAAATCCCCTGAAGGGCTGAGAAAGCAAGCGCGTAGAAAGAGACTTCTCCTGCAACCTGCTTGATGCAAAATGAAGAGAAATCAGAAAGCCTAGGAGGGATTATTAAAGAAAGCAATAGAAGGGACTCATTGTCTCCTGCCTATTATTTTAACATGCTGGCTGTGTTTGGTGCTGTTCACTTATTATGCGGTTTATTATAGTTTATTGTGCCATCTGCTCTGCTCAGCCTTGCGAGCACAGAGTGAGGAAGATGGAGGAGAGGGGGGACTGGAGGGAAGGAACTTCTCCCAAGTCCTTCTGGCTGGTTTTGGGGGGCGGTTTCAGGACCCACAGCCATGCATTTCTGCTTAGCAGTATTATACAGTGTGTACAGGAAAAAAAGTAAAAATAAAATTTAAAAAAAAAAAAGTCAAATATTTTCAGAGTTTGGCAAGCTGTACAAACCCAAATCACGCCCCGACTGCCCTCTGCCCATATCCGTGCAGTGTCGAGGCTCCAAGCAGCACACGACACAGACCCCTCGTCTCTGTCATCATCATTTGCTGAAGAATTAGGAAGCTCAAGAACCTGATCTCCTAACTTTTCTACCCAAATGAGAAATGCACACCTGGAGCTGCCAGCTTCCCTTGCAGAACAGCAGGAGGGGGCAGGAAAAGGCACTTCCAGCCCCGACCGCTGCTGCCTCCTCCCGCTGAGCCTCGCACGCAGCCCGAGCCTCCTCCCTGCGGCAGAGCAGCCAGTGCTTGCTTTGTGCTGGTGGAGGAACAACGACACGCAGACAAAAACTGAACGGCAAAAATGTCAGGGAAAAATGGCCCGGCACTCTGTTTGTCCCAGCAGCAGCAGCGCTTACACGCCAGGGTTATCACCTGCTTTTTGTAGCCTCAGTTAGCTCGGCTTCACTCAGCCTCTGGTGTCGGCTTCTCCCATGGAGGTTTTTCTGCTGCCTGCCCCCGTGCAGTGCCGACGGATGGCAAAAAGGGCTTGTGCTGAAATTCCTAATGCTTGGTACTGGTTTTAACTTCAGGTGACATAAAATGGTTTGAGCAGCTACAGCCACCACTCGCGAGGGCAGCTCTGGCTGAGCACACAGCACCAAGCCCGTCCAGGTCTTGCACCCAAGTAATTCAGTGGCAAACCTGTCCCAGAACACAAGTGGCAAGCAGCTCGCTGGTGATGTGGACAGTGCTTTGAAACGTTACGAGTCCAGGAATCACAACCCGAGAGCTGGCACAAAGATGTGCAGACACTGCCACGTCCCGCCTGGGCTCCATGGAGACACCAAACAACTTCACCCTCTTGGATGCACAAATCATTACAGAAACCCCTCAGAGAGCTACACCCACTCATAAGGCCCTCCCAATGTTACCTGTGTTTCTCTAGCCTAGCTCATTTTTGGTCCCTTTTTAATGCTTTACACCTGTTTTCCAGCTTCCCAGCTTCTCCACTCTCCTTGGCAGCTGTTTCCGAGCAGTTGCCGCACTCTGCAGCGCACAGATGTGCCTGTCTTAACTTTAATGGAGCTCCTGTTCCCATCCCGGGGCTCAGCCCGTAGCTCATCCACAGGTTTATCATTTATTTATCCCCCCCCAAACCCAGCTGTCTGCTGCACTGCCAGCACGGGGAGCTGGGGCTTGCTTCTCCCAGCAGCACCAGAGCGCACGTCTTCCTCCAAACGGGCTCCACTGGGGAACCACTGGAGTCCCTGGGGGGTTTCATGGCACCTCCCCGATGGCTCCCGTGCTGAGCTGCCAGCGAGCCCCAGGTTTCTGCACCCAGCTGTGCAGGGCAGACACAGTCCCATAGATCCACAGGCACCAGGTTTTCTAAAAGGTATTTCCAGGCCAGGAAACAAGGGGTAAAGACCCGCTCCAGCCTTACAATTTCGAGGCTTGTAATCTCGATCCTTTCCCTTCCCCATGTTTTTGACATCCTACTTCTTTGCAAACTGTCACTTCCTTCCTCGGAGCTAAATTCTGCCCTAGTAATTTTAGCAAAAAAACAAGGGAAGCAAACATTTCCTGGGGGACTTGAAGTTGCTTTCCCATCAGTGGAGATTTTAAAGTGGTCTCGCATGCGTTTTCTCCAGAAAACAAGCTCACAGAGCCGGCATCACAGTGCAGACCTAAAGCATCTCCTGCTGCAGCCACCAGCCTCAAGGTGACCTGCTCCTGGGCACAAACCTGTGCCCGATGTGCTCTGGAAGGTCTGCACGAGGTGACCCCGCCTTGGACCCTCTGGGCCGTAACGATTTGTGACAAACCCCACAGATCTCGGTGTGCTTATGCAAATCCCAGCAATGTGCATGAGCAGAGCCGTGTCGGGCTGGCACACGTGGGGCTTGGAGGGGATGCAGAGCACCAGAAATACAAGAACTAAAAAGCCTTTTACTTTGCTTCTAGCCTGGAACCCAGCTGCTGGGCATCTGGGTCTGCCTCCTGCCAGACTCCTGAGTTTTATTTTGCATGGCTGGTGTTATATTCTTGTGCCCACTCTTACTAACCTCCTTTCCCTGCTCTCCCCAAGGCCATGGCGATGGGAATGATGACAGAGTACTACCACTTCATCTTCACCACTCTGGTAAAGTATCTCAGTGACTCAAAGCCCTTTTGCCCTTGCTGCTGAGCCTGTGGGGAACGAGGAGGGGCCTGGAGGGGCTGGGGAGCAGGCTGGGCGCCCATCCTCTGCGTGCACTGCACGGCTGCAGGGCATTACTGTGGGGAGGGGAGAAGCAAGGGGAACAGGACCAGCACCCCAAGAGAGGTGAGAGCAGGGCCAGACTCAGCTTCGGGTTAAAACCAGACAATTTGGTCATCCCAACTCCGCCACCGCAGCCCTGCCTGAGCACTTACTGTGAGAGGCTTCAGTCTCTGCTTCGCTGCTCTTGGATGGCCGCAGCCCTTTGGAGCTGCACAGATTTGCACAGATGCAGCCTTTGGTTTTATTTCCCCTCTCGCTCATTTGATTTCAGTGCAGCTACCCGCACACTGAAAGATGAGCAGACGGGTGAGTCTGTGAGGTTGGTGGGATGGGATGAGACCACGTTTCAGTAAGACCAGGGTGTGTGTTTCTCTGTGCTCATCTTGGGCTCCCTTAAAACCCAGCCCCAGCCCCACCATGGTCAGAAGTTCAGTGCTGCGGGTTTATTTTGCATGAGAACTCAGCTTGAGATTAACTCCACTCTCATTAAACACGGGCCAGTTCTTCTCTGATACCAGGAGGCATTTTGGTTTGGGTTTTTTGGCATGCCACTTTTGTTTCCATTTAGGATGCTATTGTCTGGTATACTGTTGAATTTTGTGTGATTTCAAAAATCCAATTTATCTTTTTGCCTTTAGGAAAGAAACAGAATAAACTAACCCTTAAAAACTGCAAAATTTATTTTTCAAATGCAAAAGACATGTTAATTACCCCTGCTGCCATTATCTATTCCAGGCAGCTTTAAGCATTTCCCAGATAACCTCCTATTAATCAGCCCCAGCTGAGCCTAGAGTACATTTCATGTGTAGGTACAGCCTGGAGGTGGGGAAAAAAAAAGAATTATAATAAATTAATAGATAAGCAATCACAATTAATGCCACTTTCCTGAAATAACAGTTATATCATGGGAAAGATATTTTAATCTGTCATTCCTTAAGGCAATGTTTTCCTAGCTTGCAATGCATGTGCTGCAGCGTCTACAGTACTAGACCCATGGGGTGCTAATGAATTAGTCTATTATGTTATACTGAATGTTTCTAAAAGGTCCCTAGTCAATACTGAGTACAGTGTATCAACACTTGGCATGAAATGCTTCAACATTTTGCTAGGCAGCAAGACTACAGTTCACTGACTTCAACGTGATGAGCCCTACCGCAGCCTCTCTGCCACAGCAACCCTTCTGCGCCCGCGCCTAACGCACGGGAGGCATTAATGTCCTACAGAGCCCTGAGCAGGGACAACCCCTTGGAGCTCCACGCTTCTGGGAATTTCCCAGCAGCTTGTGCAAACGAGCCCTTGCGAACCCAGGAGCCTCCCTAATGCCTGCTGTCACTTCTGCTGCGAGTTAGGGAGGTGGAAGCAGGAATTGAATCGCCTCCCAAGCCTCGGGCTGCCGCAAGCAGAAACCACAAGCCCAGCCCTGCTTCGGAGCAGGCATCGAGCTGGGAGGGCCTGGTTCCCACTGGCACTGGTAGTCAGGCGTTCCTGCAAAGCTCCTGAGGCTCACGACATGCTTCCTGCTTCAGATGCTCAGGCACGATGAACTTCGGCTTGGGATTGTAACTGGGGAGGTGGGAGAGCATAGGAGAGGGGAAGACCTGGCAGAAACGTTGAGCAGAGAGCTTGAGAATAGATGGAGGGGAGAATTATCTGCGGTACAAAAAATAGCAGAAGAGAACGTAGATGAGGTGGAAAATAGAACCAGATGTTTCAATTTGTGGCTGTGCAGGAGCAGAAAATGCAGAAGAAACTGATACGGCAATTCCCCCCCACCTCTGCACGTTCCGCCACGCAGCCTGTGTTCATCACCCTGCTAATGCCAGGAGATGCTAACATGGGTTTGCAGCTGGGATTTGAACTGGCATCACGAAGGGAGCTGGGATAAAACTGAAATGGAGCTCAGTGGCAAGCAGCAGGAGGAGGGCACCCCAAACACCGGTCCCATCGGGCAGGCGGCAGTGCTATGGCACCACACTCTGGAGCTCGGTGGATTCCCCTTGTCATGGCTGGCCAGAGGGGAACAATCAACTTTCTGCAACCAAAAATTATTTGCCCACAGCAATTTCCAGAATGCATTGACAGAAGTATCCAACAAAAAGATCCAAATCCTGATAAAATAACCCATTCCACTGGGTCTGGCACAGTTCCGCTGCGCCCCACGTCCGGATGCCACCAGCACGCTGAGGTCAGGCAACCGCATTCGCCCTCAGCTACCAGAAGTCATCTGAAAGTCAACATTACGGCCTGGCCTTCACGCTGCCCTTTAACAAGACGTGGAGCTTTATACTTGCGATTTTTCAGGGAAAAAAAACAACCAACAGCCGGGTTAAACCACAGCAACCCTGCGCTCTTTGGTGGGTGTGATTAATGGCTCGGGCCCGGGCTGCAGCTGCGGACCGCACCACGGCATCCATCAGCAGCCTGCCTCGGGGGTGCGAAGTCAGAGGGCAGCACTTAAGGAAAGATCAAACCCCCAAAGCTTATTAAAGCAAAACAGCTGTACCAATTCCTAGCTCTCCCACTGAGAGTGAAGTCTCGGCTGCTGGCAAGTGCGGATTTTGCTACGCTTTGCTCAGGGCAGTGCATTTTAGGGCCAGTGCTTTCGCAGCCCCTGTGGGCTGAACAGAGCTTGCTGCCGTGTCTGGGTGAAGCCACAGCCTGCTGCGTCCTACTGGTACGGTCGTATTGTACAAAGCAGCAACAGCCCCACATCTCCTGCTGCATTTCAACTCTTGGGCTTCATCCCTTGTGATCAATGAACACCGTGACTGCATTCAGCCCCCAGCCTCCATCACAGAAGACAGTGGCGTTGCTTTTCCATCTCCCTCCAATTTTACTAGAAGACATTGTTCTGGATAAATTCTGGTTAAGCTCCATCCACCAACGACTCCCAGACTCAAAGCCCCTCCAGCCTGCCGTTCATCTCACACGCCCCTCGCCCTGCTCCATCCCCCAGGCAGCTCTCACTGCTCCGGCTTTTCTGGGCAGGCCAGCTGCTCCTGGCACCTCGTCTAACCCAAAACTACTCCAGCTAGCGACTAGGCATTGAAGCCAACCCCTGAACTGAGCTGACTGTGTAGATGTGCAGCAGAGCCAAGAGATGCATTAAGAAGCGCGCTCGCAGAGGGCTCCGAGCGCCCCGTCTCTCGCTGCCTGCCAAGCCGTGTCTGTGGGCTGGCTGCCAGCAGGGCTGAGGGCTGCCTGGCTGGGGGGGGGTTTAAATAGCATAAAGGGCACCCTCATTCATTTGCAGACTGCGTAGGCTGGTCGTAATGTCAAGAAATGCGTCTTAGTTCCTCTTTGAGAGCTGTCTGCAAATTGGCATGCCGAATCCGGAGTTGCTCTGCCCTCCCCAGCACGCTGCGGGCCTCAGCACCGACGGCAAATTCTCACAGAGGAGCCCGAGGGAGCTTCCAGCACAGGAGCTCTGCCTCCCCCCCACCCCTGGGTACCAGCCTAGTTCCTTGTGGTATCAGCTAGTTCAGTGCCTTGGGGTTGGGACTGAATTGTCCCAGCCCCAGGGAGCTGACGTGGAACTGCAGCCACTGCCACAGCCCCGCGGCAGAGCTTTCGGCTCGTGTCCTGGTGCTCGCACGCTGTACCCGGAGCACTGCTGTCACTGCTCTTACTGCTCCTGCCCTTACTGATGTCAAGGGACTGGTTCAGAGCATCAGGGATGTAGGATCAGCTCCTGGCCCCTCTGCAGTCACCCCAAGGGGGTCGTTTCACCTCCCCTATGCTCAGGGAGGCAGACCTGCCGACTCTGGCTTTCCCCCCACCACTCATCCATCCCCCTTACCAGACAGCGAGCTCGCAGAAAAGACAAGCACAACAGAGCTAAACAACATGTTTAAACTGGTTTCTCTCTTTTAAGGATCTTTATGCATTAGACCTAGAACCATACCGCTACTCTGGGGTGAACCTGACCGGCTTCCGGATCCTCAATGTGGAGAACCCGCACGTGGCGTCCATCATCGAGAAGTGGTCCATGGAGCGGCTGCAGTCGGCGCCCAAGGCAGAGCTGGGGCTGCTCGACGGCGTGATGATGGTACGAGGGGCTTAAAGGACACGTGGCGATGCCTGGGGAGTGAGCCTGAGGGGCAGGGAGCCTTTGTTAATGCCTGTTGTATTTATCCATATGTATAGATTTACGTATGTAACACCCAAATGTTATGTAAATGTCCTGTACTGGTCCCAGCTCACTGCAGGTGTCTTCCCCAGGCAGTTACTGGCACTCCAACATCTGTCCCTCGAGTGCAGCCAGTTCTGCTGGTGAAACCCCTGCCCCACACACCCAGCTGCCGACTGATGTGCCAGTTTGGGAAGCCGGTGCTCCTTCCCTCCTTCCTTCCCTCCCTCCTTGCCAGCACAAAGCTGCCTCCAGGACCCGCAGATTTCAAAGCTTTCCCTTCCAGCAAAGCCGTAGCACAGCGGGGAAGTGCCCAGGCTGTTTCATGCTGGGAGCAAGAGGGAGGGAGCTGCAATCAACTGCCCTTTGTGCCCCTTGCTGGAGCTCAGCAGGGTTTCCCCGGGCTAGGAGTGCCTGGCAGGAGCTGTGTGTGCCCCAGGCCGCAGCACACCGAGCTGGCTGGGGAAGCCCCTCTGCAGTCACTCCCTGGGGAAGGGCAAGCTGTGCAAGTCCCTGGAGCAGCAGTGGGAAGCAGAAATACTCCAGCAGCCAGGGCCTGCCCGCTAGCAGGTGCCAAGGCTTGCGTGGGTCCAGCCCAGGCGGGATTACTTCCCCAGGCAGGCCCCAAAAGGAGCCAGACGCCAAGCTCTCCGGGGCTGGGAGCACAGCACGAGGCTGGACTGGGCCAGGCAATTCACCGAGATGGATGAATGGAAGAACAAGGCAAAGCTGTGCCCAGAGATGGGCTCTGCTGCAGCTCCGATGCCTCCTTTTAGGGCCCGATGGCAGCTCTGCTCCACTGAGCTGCTGCTCGCAAGGTGCAGCACCTGCTCGCCCATCTGGCTTCCCGGCAAGGCTGTCTCCGACCCGTAACTGCCGGCTGGCTGCCTCCTTTCCTCCCCTCCTGCTCTGCCAGAGCCTTCCTCCCGTAGCAAAGCCTCCTAGACCTTCACCTCACATCCCTCCTGTCCCTTTCTGTTTTCCCTTAGCGGACAGTCCCACCACTCTCCTTCTCCCTTCCACGTCCCCGCAGCACTGTGTGCAGTATCCTACCTCCACCAGCTCCTGATCTTCCCCAGCTGCCCCTGGTTCCTCTCATCCTTTGTCCTGCCTGCTGCCTTCTGCACGGGGTTCTCCTTTGGCTGTGTTTTCCTCATCTGGGCACTACAGCATCCACTTCCCCATGAAATCGCATAGCCAGACCCTTGTCCCCCTGTCCCACAGCCCCAAACTCCCCAGATCTGCCCCTGCAGCCCTACAAATGACCCCACAGGAGGCAGGTCTGGTGCCTGCTCTTCATGCTCGGGCTCTGCAGGAAGGGAAGGTCACGGGGATGGCTGCCAGTGCTGGAGGCTTTTCTCCACGGCCACGTCCTGACAGATATTTGCCCAGTTGTTTGCTGTGTTATTTGGTTTTGTTGTGGTTTATTGCTTTGCTGCTGTACTCACATCTGTTTTGTAGCCTTGTGAAGCCAGCAAACAATGTATTTTTTCATTAGCAAGACTGACCACAGCCGGGGGGGGGGGACAATAAATGTGGTCAGTGTTTGGAGGGGGCATCTCAAATGCAGTCTAAACCCATTGTGTTAAATAGAACAGGGAAAAAAAGGAAAGTTCTCCCTAGTTCAAACCACTGAAATGTGGGAAGATGTTACACACTGTGATGCTCTGATTTCAGTGCCAGTTTGGGGCATTCTGGAAAATTTTGAATGCCCAGAGACAAGCCACTTAACTTTCCTGATTCCTGTTTCCCCACACATAAAATAGCCTGGATAAGATGTTCCCATGTAAGTTGCTTTTTGCACTGCCTTGGACAAAGCAGACTAAATAAGAAAACCTTGTATCTGCGTTTAGGAACAGCTAGCTTCTTTGTGGCCACACAACAGCACTAAAACAACCAGAATAGCTGCAGATGGACAGATGACATTTTCCCAATCTCTGCCTAAAGGAGCTGCGTAACACAGAAACACGCTCGTGGGGCTTTGTCATGTGTCTGAGGATGAGTTTTGCATGAGAGGTCAGCCCAGAGCCTTACAGAAGTCCTATTTTGTGTTAAAGCTTACGCACGTATGGCAATCTCTCGAGATCCCAGCCCTGCCTCTGGTGGGGACTGCACCAGGACCCCTCTGCTGGTGGTTCCTGCAGCTTCTCAAGGAGATGCCACGAATTCCCCGTGTTGCTGTGTGAATGCCTCCTCGCTGCGGAACCACGACCAACACAAATGCTGTTCCCTTTACTTTAGACAGACGCTGCCCTGTTGTACGACGCGGTCCACGTGGTGTCCGTGTGCTACCAGCGAGCCCCCCAGATGACCGTCAACTCCCTGCAGTGCCACCGGCACAAAGCCTGGAGGTTCGGCGGCCGCTTCATGAATTTTATAAAAGAGGTAAAAGCACCATTTGCAACCATGATTGCTTCCCACTGCTGCAAAAGCTCCCCAGCAGGAGCAGTGCAGCTGCTCGGAGCGCAGGTACTGAGGCCCGTGGCAGAGGGGTTGCCAGTTACAGGGCTATAAAAAATCCTCCCCTGCCTGAGTAGGTACAAAGGGATGGAAGTGTGGGTACACATCAGACTGCTGTGTGTCCAGAGAGACAAAATCCTGTCTTTGCCTTCAGAATAACACTCACATGGCCACAGCAAAACATCCAAAACAAGCCGAGCACTTCCATGGTGTCACCAAGACTGGTCCTTGCCTCCTCTTGTGTCAAGAGCGGCCAGACCCCTCTCTCTGCGGCCACCCCTGCCCCGAGCCGTTTGCCTTTTCTTTTCCAGCACCATTTGCTTGGTGCCCACCAAAGGCTGTCGGAGCAGCCCCCTCCCGGTGGCTCAGCACACCGCTGCCTGCGTGCTGAGGAAGGGCTCTGGCAATGTGCAGCACTGAGCGAGGGGGAGCCAGGGGAGCAAGGAGGCAGCCCCGTTCCCTCTCTGTTTTCAGTCATTATGATTTCTCGCTGTTCAGCCCACGTATGGTTTGTTTGCACCTGGCTTAAGCACGCAGGCAGACTCGAATGGCAGCCGTCTGGGTGCGGAGAGCTGACCGAGGGAGGGGAGCAGTGGCAAGAAGCAGCCAGCCCTCCCGCAAGCCCCAAGCACCCAGCTCAGCACGCAGCCCCAAGTCCCCACGCTCACACCCCAGGCTTTGCCTTGTCTGCAAAAAGCAGCCATCGCCTGAGGAAAAAATGAAGGCAGAGCTGCAGGGAGATACCGCAAACCCTGCCAGATATGTCTACGTGAACAGTAACACCCTGTTTACCCCGAGGCCTTTTGAAACTTCTGTGGCTGCGGCTCTTCACGTGGGAAGTTGTGAAACCGGCAGCAGAATGGGATACAAGACGGGGGCCACACTTAAAAGGCTGGGGATAAAATCCCCTAAAGTTTTTAAACATAAAGGAGCAGAAGCACAGTGTTAATGGTTGTTAGGACTGGTGCTGCAGCATCACCTGCAGACCACGCTGGCGCTGAGGCAGGCACACAGCAGCAGTGACAGGGCGCCCACCCAGGGGCTGCCGGGTGCACAGAGCACACGGGCGTGGGGAGGAGAGGGAAGAATCGTTCCCATTGCAGAGAGAGAATGAACTTCTTCTTAATAGGCTCTGAAGACTGTATCTCCTCTCTCTCTCTCTGCCTCTCTCTCTCCTTTTTCATGTTTTGTTCCCTTCTGCGGAAAGCTGCTCCAGCTGGCTGCCAAAAGAGAGTGTAAATAATTTGTTTGGTTGGCTCCTTTTGCAAATTACCCTGAGCTCACACTCCGGTGCCTGCCTGTTGTTTCCCTTCCTGGCACTGTGTCAGCCGGTTGCAGGGCCGAGCCCCCCCCCAGCAATCAGAACACACCATAATTGCTCCCTCTAAACTCCTGCCCAGACAAAGCAGGGCACGTAGCAGGGTGCCTCGCTGCGGCCACCGGCCCCGTGCTCCTCGCAGCTACAGCAGTGCCTCGGGCTGGATGAAGACACACACGGAGGGGTCCCCGGACGCCCCCATCGCCGCAGTGTCGGTGCCCCGAGTGCCTTTGGGGTTCCCAAGAAGTACGGGGTGGGCAGGCAGAGCGGGGCACAGCCCCATTTAGGTGTGTTCCCCCCAGCTGCTGGTGCATCCCCTGGGAAAAACCTGCGTGCTGAAATGAGCAACAGAGCACAATCTTCCCCAAAACCCAGGGGTGGCGAAGAAGCTGTCATTACTCCTTAGGAATTAATGAGAACGAGCCAGAGGAGAGTATTTATGGGAAAATATGCCAGTGGTTCCCCCCTGAGAATGCGTTATGCCACCTCTATCACAGCAAGTTATTTCGAGCTGCCCTGCCCATGAAGGAGGCAGCTCCATCAGAGGAACATCCAGCGCCCGAGCAGCAGTGGGAGCCTCCCCGAGGGGCCACGAGCACCCCTTGGTGGAGCAGCCTCCACACACCCCGCTGTGCCGTGGTGCTGGTCTGCTGGCACAGCTCCTGCCCGGTCTGGGGGCTCTCCCCAATATTCCTGTGCCTGTTTCAGAGCACAGAGCCTGCCAGAAGGACGGGCTCCTGGCCTCTTGTGCTCTGCTTTCCATCTGAAGGGAGGGAGAGAGGAAGTGTTCGGGACATTTGAGCTTCCGTGCCCCTCTTTAGCTGCGAGAAAGGATTCTTTATTCATGAGCTTGGCTGGAGTTGTCCCAAACCCAGGCTCCCTGCAGCCCGGCATTTATCAGGACTACAAGGATAAATGCAGCCCGCAAGGATGCCGTGATAAATGCAAGGAGTTTTCTCCTGAGTCATCATGTCCTGCAACAGCTGTTGAACACAAAAGGTGCGAACGGAGACGGTAGCAAGGACTGCAGAGAGTTGTGAAATCTCCAGCCCCGTCTGCAGCCTGCACAGCGACGTTGGTGATTATTAATTAATCATGCTCTTTGGGGAGAAAGAACTAGTAAAAGGACTAATTAAAAGAACACACGGTAGAGGGCAAAAGATTATTCATGATCCCAACTAACGGCCCGGCTACTTCTTCCTTCTGCAGGCCCAATGGGAAGGATTAACTGGACGAATTGTCTTTAACAAAAGTAGTGGCTTACGGACAGATTTTGACTTGGACATCATCAGCCTCAAAGAAGACGGTCTCGAAAAGGTAAGCGGGGTTTGTCTTACCTGCGGGATGCGGCGCGGCACAGCTCTGACAGCCACATAGAAGGGGAGATGGCTGCTGGTTGTGTTGTTTCTGTGTTTTCTGGTTTTGATATGAAAGGAGATCTGTTCTGTGGGATTGCTCTGATCCTTTTCCATGCCTCATCAGTGACTCACTAGCCCCGAAGCGACGTGCAGCGGATTAGAGTTCCCAGCTGCAGAAGCTTGGGGCACCTCCCTGGGACACGGCACAGCAGCGGGAGCAGAACCTCGCGGCTCAGCCTCAACCTCTGTGGGCCCAGGCCAAAGGGGATGGAATAAAACCTCTCCCATCCTCTGCCTCGCTGGGCTTTCTTACAAAACCTTGAACAACTCCTGAGAGCATCAGCTGGGGGTGATTTCCACCAGGAAAACTGCCCAAGGCTTGGAAATAGAGGGATGGTTGGACCTGATACCGGGCATTCATGGGGATTTCATCCCCTTTGCTTCAGGTATTTTTGAAAAAAAGAGCAGCACGCAAAGCTCTAAAGCTCCTAAACCACTGGTTTCAAGGCGAGGTCTGTTCACTTAAGACAAAACAGAGCAGCAAGGGCTGCACTGCAGCCAGCTGGGCCCTGCAGCCACCTCTACCATGGATCGGGCTCCAAATCACGGCCATCGAGGCCGCTGAGGGTCCCGGAGCCCGACCCCTTTTTGAGAGCGGCTCTGAGCCCACGTCCTGCTGACGGATATCCTGCAGACTTAGAGGAAAAAGCTGCCTGCAGGGCAGCAATTCCCTGCCCAGAGCACAGTCTGCTTTTAGACACGCACAAGGTGCCTGGCTGGCAGCGAGGGACGAAGTGCTGAGCTTGTAACCTCTGGGCACGGAGACAGGTTCGGAATCCCGCAGGAAACGCCAGCTGGGAGCAGAGAGGAGCAGTTTTCAATTAGCCATGCAGCAAGCGGCCCGAGATGCACAGATGACTTCTCCAGTTAAGGCTGGGGAATTAATCACAGAGTGCTCGCAGGCAGCCCTGGGAGGCTGGAGGCTCGCTCAGCCCCGCCGGAGCGGGCAGATCTGCGCTGCGGCTCCCTGGGACCCAACAGCCCCGCTCCCCATCCCCCTTCTGACAGCCTGGTTTTCCTCCTCCTTAAAATAAATTGTCACCGTGCTTTCACACCACTGCGGTAGGTCTCTGCTTCACGTACAAAATCTCAAGGTCACCACAGCACTCTCCTAGCGGGTATTTTGGGTGTCAGATGCAGAATACAGACAGCGTCATCCCAAATAAACTCGGCCAGCTTCAGGCTGCAGCCAGCTGAGCCTGGGCAGGAGGGAGGCAGGCAGAGGGGCAGGGGAAGATCCCATCTTTTCACACAAACCAAGCACCAAATGATTTTTGTAGCTTTGTTTTCCCAGAAAACATTTTGTATAGAGTCTAAACCCCCCAAAAAAAACATTATGGCTTTTTGGAGCACGGTGCTCAGAGCACCAACAGAGTGCCTGAGAGCGGCGTCAGCAGGGTAACAGAAAAATGTGCAGGTATCTGGATACCGGGCGAATCTAAATGTTTAAGTACAACTGCAATATCTGTCTGTCAACCTAATCCTCCTCAGGTGTACCGGAGAATAGCTGGCACTAGCTGCATTTATTACTGTTGTGTGTCACATAAAGCCCGCAGGAAGCCACCAAGGCTTGATGCATATTCCGTGCACTCGTTCAACTTTTGTCTCCGACGACTCCGAGACTTCACAGCTCCCACCATTATTTGCCGAAAGCTTCTTGTCAGCTCTAGAGGGGGTTTAAAGTATCGATGTCAAATCTCTGTTGATGCTACGGTTCTGTCAATAGTTAATCTGAAATAACAAAATGCCAAACTACAAACAAATCCCAGACGGATTCTGCATTATGTATAATAGCTTATGTTTGTTGAGCTTTAGGATTGAACTCCTGATCCTTATACCTCCTGGATGTTCCAGGGATTACAGCAGTATTAACTAAACCTAATTACATGTAGTTTGACTATCTGAGTTGCACAGTTCTCTTAATGCACTTTTCTCTTTTTCTTCCTTTTTTTTTTTTCTTCTTCTAATATTTTAAACTGATTAGTTCAGTCTTAAGTCCCATGTATTTCCTTTTCTTAAAGAAAGAAGTCTGCAGAGCTGCTAGCAGGAGACTCTTAGCCTCTTGCTTCTCGCTGCCCATGCGCAGTACAATCCTTCTGACATTGCAGCTGTTGTGTGATTGAAAGGAGACGCAGGGGATTGCTTGGGTTTTACCTGAAATATTTAGAGCCTTTCACAAAGTTCATGGAAACTCTTTTAGAATTTATGAGGTGGTTTGCTGGTTGTGGGTTTTTTTTGCCAGGCAGCATTGCTCATTACAAAGTCTCTTTTTTGGGATAGAGAAAAACCAAGTCGTCTCCTTGGACTGATGAAGAAGTTGGAGAATCTTAAAAATAGCAATAAATAAAATATGGGAAGTTCCTGGCTCCCCACGGGTTCGAGCTGTCTGCCTTTGGTTTCTCTCTAAGCCCCATCTCCCAGCATGACCCTACAGATGGGTCGTTCTGTTCCCGTTTCCACCTGCCCTTGTGTTTCTTCTCACTGCCAGGCTGGCTTTGTGGCATATTCCTCCAGCTCTCCTGACACTTTATCTCACCGTCACAGTCCTTTAGCCAGCCCTGCCTTCGAAGATTGTTCTAAAGCCTCCCCTGCACTGTGGAGATCAGGTTAACAGGCTTAGAGTTGCCCAGATGACTTCTCTTAAATAGAGACATGTTCTGCTATTTCTGGGTCAACAGGCATCTTCAGAGTCTAATGATACATTAAAATTGACAGCTGGAGAAAGGCCGAGCACCTCCAAGAGACGAGGAATGTGGCTGCGTGTGCCGGCGCCGGGGCAAGCCCAGGGCCCTTCCCTCCATGGGGCTCACCACCAACGCCAAGACCTCTCGCTGTGGAGGGGTCGCTGGGGGCCTGCGCCTGTCGGGCTGCCCCCAGGTGGGGTCCTGCTCTCAGTTGAACCCAGATCCAGGCTCTGACCGATCAGTGGGTGTGCACTTACCCTGTGTGCTTCAGAAGCTCCAAGCTCCTTCCTTGGGAAAGGCCCCGCCGGCTCAGGGTTGATGGGGGATTGAAAAATATTTTCTGTTTTCTCTCGTTCTGCTTTGGCCTTGCCCAGAGTTGACTTTTCAGCGTGCTTTGATTGATTGCCTGCTCTATGTAGTACCAATCTGGATTGTTCCTTCAGCTCCTAATTCCAGCCATCGTGGTCCTTCCTCAGTGCACCTGCATCTCTCAGAGGGCAGCACAAGGGTTGCTAATTGTACACGTGCAGCTGGAGTGCCCTCCAGCAGAAGAGCTAAAGTAAACCTTCTGTTTAGGTGAAACGGGATGGGAATTCCAACTCTGCTTCTGTTTCCTGCAATGCAGGAAGCAAGCTCCCTTTTCCCAGGCCAGCAGGATCCTGAGAGCACTGAAGGGACGCAGGCCAGGTGTTGATGCACTTTGTTTCATTTCAGGTTGGCACGTGGAACCCTGCCAACGGTCTGAACATCACAGAAATTGCCAAGGGACGAGGGCCCAACGTCACGGACTCGCTCAGCAACAGATCTCTCATTGTCACCACTGTCCTGGTAGGAGACCACAAGCCCGTATTCCCCCCCTACCCAGAGCCCCCGGGGTTAGCTGATCCCTCCAAAAGCTGGGCAGGGGCACGGAGAAGCCCCGAGGCCTGGGGCGAGCTGAGCCCCAGACGAGTTGTGGACCAGAGCCGGGCTTGTGTTGGGCTCGTGCCAGGCTCTGGGTGGCCAACAGCCGGGCACCAGGCTCTGCCTGCTGTGGGTGGAAGCACTCGTGGTATGCCAGGCAGCACCAGAACACGCAGGGACCTTGGCTTAGCTGTGACAATCCTGTTTCTTTCCCTCTCCTAAGTACGTATTTGATAAGCTGGCTAAGAGTAATGCCATTATCCAGCAAAGCACGGGTGCTTAACAGGGTTCCTGCGCTTCCAGCTGTCACGTTGCATTTTGCTCTCACGTTCGCTATTGGATTTGATGGCAGGCATCAGATCAGAATGAATTTTTATTTTATATCTAATGAATTATGACTAGTGGCATTGGTTTCTATACAGCTGTATTACACAGTGCAGGCTTGTGGCGTGCTACCAGGAGGGAACAAAAAAGATCAGCCCCTGCACAGCCAGCTCACAACTGGGTCTGAATGATGGCTCTGCCTACCTGAATTTCCTGGCCCTTTTGTATTCTGTATTTTTGGGGACTGAGGGTAAGGAGCTGCCCGCTGGGAGATGTGTTCCCCAGCCCCAAGCACCGTGACCCCTCCTGATGTCCTTGCCATCCCAAAAGGACTAAAAGGTCTGTAACACAACGTGAGGGGCTTGGTGCTAGGGAAGGAATGGGGCCAGGAAGTGCCAGACAGTGCCACCCTTTCTAATGAACTCCCCGCTCATCACACAACAGTTATTCCACTGAAAGGCTTTCACATGCCAACATGCAGGGGAGACTGGAAAACAAAATCCACCCCCAGCTGAAAGTTTCAGACTGTGCCACTGGGTGAGGCCGTGGGTCCCACGCACGGGGCTGCCCGCCCGAGGCGGTGCTTGGTGCCATGTGTGTGGGCACAACCAGTGCCAGCAGCAGCTCCCCACCAGCTGCAGACACAGAAATGAATCAGGACTCACATCAGGAGTTCCCGCACAGGCATCAGAGAAACTGACAAAGCAAAAGGCACCGAAACAACTCAGCGTGCATCAGATCAGGAGCGTGCTCCTGCTCAGAGCCCTGCAGCAGCGGGTGCAGGCAGACACGACATACACCCGCCTGCTCTCACCGTGTTCCTTTGCATTTATCGGGGGCTGTTCAGAAAGCAGAGGCTCAGGTCGTGTTTAAACTCCAGAAGCTTTAAAATGACTTCCCTTCTGCCCACGCTCACCTTTCACTGGCAATTACTGGGCCAGGATGGCTGGTGGTACAGGGAGGGCTGGAGAGGCAGCAGCAGAGGGGCGCTGGGAGGTGGAGGAGCACCCAACAGCGCGGTGAGGCTGAGGGATGGCAGGTGGGGATGGAAACACAAGAGGGAATTGTACAGTCAGGGCTACAGAAGGCAGGGAGGGCACATCTTGCCAGGGATAAAACCATGGCCGGAGCTGGGGACATGTTGGGGTTAGAGCACCACCATCACTGCACCTCAAAGACCTCAGCACGATGCCAGGTGATGGACCAGAAGGAGACCTGCCAGCCACCTGCCTGTGACGGGCTCCTGCTGGGCAGGATTTGCATCTCGTGGTCCAGGAGCAAGCACAAATCACATGAAGCACAGGGGTGGTACCAGTTCCTACAAACTGTGCCGTTCCTTGGGCCTGCACGTGTGCCGTGGGGCATCCTCCTGCAAGCCAGCACTGCCCCGCAGCCCTGCAGCCCGCAGGAGCAGGCAGCGTGCTCGGACCCGAGCTCTGCACTAACTGCATTTCGTATCCTGGCTTCCAAAACATAAAACACAGCCCTACACTTCATTTGCATTTGCGACATCCCTTTGTCCCTTCGCATTGGTGTAACCGGTTGTAGAAAAGCCAGAGGAGGAACCTTTAAAAGGGAAAGCAGGAAAGGTTATTTCTTCCCCTTTTGCTCATATTGCAGTGACTTGTTGGAAGAGAAATATTACCCCAGCAGCCAGCGCCACTCTCCCCAAGCAATATGGGAACTGTGAAGTTATGAAATTGAGGGCACCTTCACTGAGAAATCGATTAGCAAACCGAGAGAGCTTGTGAATTGGATGTCTGGCCATTTTCAGTAATAAATTGTGAAATAGTCCGTGAATAAGTGGTTCACAGAGTTCAGAATTACCCCCTAGGAAATGTTTGAGACCTGCAGATACATTACTGAAGCGAGTGGCGTCCTAATGTTCAGCGCTTCGGCTGTTAAATATGTATGTAATCCCTACAGCGCTTCCCAAAATTAATAGTGCTTTATGGCTGCTCTGGAGCTGCTGTATTTATAGCGAGATCCATAGATTCAGCTGATTCACAAACAAAGCGCTAATTCCAAAGGAAAAAAAAAAAAAAAAAAAGAAAAAGCTGAGGTGGTGGCCAGGGAGAGCAGGGTTTAACAGAGCTGCGAGTGCCAAACCAAACTCTGTGGGCGTGATGTTTCCCACTTTGCTTTGTAATTCTGCAGTTCCAGTCTCCGTGAAGCTCTCTGGTCACTCCCCGAGGCAGAGCCACTGCTCTGCAGCACAGCGGGACCTCGGTGCCACCTTATGGGGGCTCCGACCGCCTTGCAGATAATTTTAATTCCAGCCATTCATTCGCTGCCTCCCCCTATCTCAGCCTCCCCCTGCCGTCCAGCTTCTGCCTGCTGCTTGCCATTTTTTGCCACTTCCATCTGTGCTCTGCACATTACTTCCCCCCAGCTGCCCCAGGTGTCCCTTGTCCTCAGCCCCTGGTGGCTGCCCAAGCCTGACAGCCACCAAAGGGTTGTGCCACTTGCTGCGCGTTCCTGCCTTCACCTGCAAAGAGGCAGCAACAATCCGTAGGGCAGAGCCGGTTGGGAAGCACTTTTTTAGTTATTTTCACATGTGCTGGTGCTTGGGGCTGCTGCAACCAGAGACATCCCCACTGCGGATACAGAGCCCAAGGCAGCGCCTCTCGGGGCAGCAGCAGGGCCCTGCACCCCTTCAGCTAGAGCTGGCAGAGAGGAAGCAGAGCCCATCTCGGGGACATTTGGGGCTGGCCAGCAGCCGAGCACAGTCCTGCAGCTGGTATTTAATCCACCAGCCTCGTAAGGGCCAGTACCGCTGCGTGTCGGCTGCGCAGGGCTCGCGGTTCAGTTTGTCCCCCCCCCAAGCCTTTTGCTGCTTCTCAACACTCTTCATTTGCAGAGCATGAAATGGTTATTTTTCTCCCTGAAATTCCACCAAATGGAAAACAGTTGGCTGCTCAGAAGAGACAAAATTAAATTTTGTGGGGTAAACAAGGTTGCTAATTAGCTGATGCGCTGTGCAAAGCTAATTTATTCCCAGCGTGTCACCGTGCCAGCCCAGCCTGCAGAGCCGGCGCTTGCGGCTCAGGTTGGCCGCAGGGGTGGCCCTACCTGGGATGGGAGCTGGGACCACGGCCGAGCCCTAACGGGGTTTTTGCTTTGCGGTGTCCAGGAGGAGCCCTTCGTCATGTTCCGCAAGTCCGACACCGCCCTCTTTGGGAACGACCGCTTTGAGGGCTACTGCATCGACCTGCTGAAGGAGCTGGCCATCATCCTGGGCTTCACCTACGAGATCCGGCTGGTGGAGGACGGGAAATACGGCGCGCAGGACGACAAGGGGCAGTGGAACGGCATGATCAAGGAGCTCATCGATCATGTGAGTGAGACCAAGATGCACAGAGGGGCCCGGGCAGCCCCAGGCTTTCTGCCAGGGGTGGGATGGGGGCTGCAAACGGGGGCCAGGGCACAGCAGTGAGGTGGCTCAGGGGCACCAAACACATCCCAGGCACAGCTTGGCTGAATTCAGATCATGTATCCAGAGAGCAGGTGTGCAGGGCACAGGTCTCTCTATATATATTTATAAATGCAGCTTGTTTTCCTAAAATCTCCTAAAACACAGAGCTCCCCTGCAGCAGAGCAGCTGTGCCCTTCCTTCCACGCTCACTTCTAAAACCCCATTACAAACCAGTGAAGCTCCAGTGGCAGCTTTCCCCTCGCAGCTGCCAGAAGTCACCTGGACTCACGGCCAGTGGACGCTCGGCCTCCTAATGAAGTATTTTGCCTCCAGCACACCCCGTGATCCCCGAAGCCCACTTAGGGAGGTGAGGAGAGATGGCGTATTTCTGAAGCTCCTATTCCAGGAAAAGGTCTCTGAAAAGAAGAGAGACAAGACTCCTCTCTGATCCCCACCCCCAGGGAGTGGTATCAGCCTCCCTGGAGGTGCCGCATTCCCTCTCCTCCTTCACGTCCTGGCCGCGTGGCGCAGCCACTGCACCACCTCTCAGGTTCCTGGCTTCATTTTAAAAACATTGCCTGAGCGGAAAGGGACAAAAATAAGCCCAGATACGTAGCAGCTGTGATGCTCTTACAGCTGATGTGAGAGGAACGTGTGTCCTGGGTGAGTCACTCCAGCAAATGAGCGTCGCTGCGAGCGGCTAAGCGAGCGGTGTCTCGCGGTGAGATGGCAGAGCTGGGGCTCCGAGATCGAGGTTGTGTTTCCAGATTTGGCTCATCTGCCTGAAATGACATTGGACAAGTCGCTTCTGTGCATGTATTTCCTCCATCTGCAAAATGCAGATGATCATGATTATGCCCCTTCTAGGGACAGTGACGCTCAATCAGCCGGTGAAGCAGGCGGTAGTCCTGAGATGGCTCACCCTGGAGAAGCACGAAGGGCAGGCAAGGACAGCCCGGGGTGCTTTTGCTCCCAGAAAGGCCCATACAGCCTTCAGTACGGGTCTGGTGGTCTCCTACATAAAGGCCTCGCTAAATCGGACAAGAGACTCTCAGCTCCCAGCAGAAGATGCTGCCGTGGTGCCTCCCCGTGCTGAACGTGCTGCGACCCTGCTCTGGGGGCCGGCCTCCTGCAGCCCCCAGGCTCACTGCTGGCAGCAGAGTCCGTGGCTCTTACTGCAGGGCATCCACCCAGGGGGGCTCTGGAGAAGTAAACAGCTCTGACGGAATAGACAAGGGGAATAGCAGCCAGGCTGTCATTTCGTCTGACCCATGTCACTTCCAATGTCCTGCAAGATGTTAGAGGCCTCCCAGGAGGTTTTCTGAGCTCCCCAAGGCTGCGGTCAGCTTAAAGAGACAGAGCAAGAAGGAGATATGGGGAACAGCCTCATTCAATGATGCCCTAAATTCATGGCCAGCCTGCACAGAAGTATTTCTTGGCTACCTATTCAAACAGCAAATTAACAGACAGCAACAGGAAAGGACCGAATCCCCTCTTCTTGCAGGTTTTACTCGCAAACAAGCATCAAGTTCAAATTCTGCCTTCAAACAGGTGTGGCTGGGTACGTGCCTTGCAGTGATTTACAACCATTGCCCAAACCCTGTATGAAGCCATTATTTTATCTGCATGTCATTGCTTTTTATAGCAGTGTTTATGTAAAGCATTAAAAAGTGAAACTGCAACCAGATGGGGCCCTTCTTCAGCAGCAAAGCATCTTCACGTGACGTGGGGAAAGGAACAACTGACTGGCATTCGCAATGGGAAAGTTCAACCTTATTTCACACCTTGGAGGAAAAGTGTTGGAGACACCACTCAAACAAAGTGGTAATGATGAAAACAGGACTGCCTACACTGCGAGTGTGTCTGGGCTGGCTTCCCTCCAGCATCTCCTCCTCGTAAAGGAATTTGGATCCTTCAGGTGCAAGCCTAAAGCACGTAGGACTTTGTGAGGTCCGAACCCCCAGGCCAAGATTAGCTCCATGCCCAAAGTCTGTGCCTTGCTGAAGATCCCCTTACCTCTTGTGCAGCTGAGACTGAGCCCCCAGGGCTCTGTGAAGCACCTTCTTGGGGGGCTGAGCTGAAGCACAGGCTTGGTCCCATGCCATGTAGGTAGGTGAGGTGTTCCCGAGGTGAAACGAGAGGCTAAAATGGAGGTCGTTATCACATGGAAGGGCTGAGAGCCCCGGGAGCAGTAGATACTATACCAGGAACATACAATTAGGATGTATAATTAGTGTCTGGGGGTGATGGTGCCCACCACAACCCCCAGGGTACCTCCCAGAGCACATGATGGAGGACTGGCTGTTTATGCTGCAAGCTCCCACTGCTTCTTTTGGAGTCACGCATCCTCCTCCTGGCCGTCCCTTCTGATCCAGACATGCCTGGCCACAGGCAGTAACGCCTTGGGCTACAATCCTTTGTAAAATTGCTTTGTTTCTAGTCTGGCCTTAAGCATAAACAGGAAAAGCAACAGCAGTCAGAGCAGCTCCCAGCATGACCCCATCTTGCAGGTCCCCAGCAGCAGAGCTGGAGAAGACAGCTTTGTGCAGTACGATGCAAGAAGTCCTGCCCTGCTGCCTTTCATCTTCTGCTTGTCCTTCATCACAAAAAATATCTGCTTTGGTGTTCAGTCCGCTCCCTGGAGAGCCGGACGCTTTCCTCAGCACAGTTTGTTGCTTGTTGTCACTCTGCCTGGCCACTTCTGCAGAGGGGCTGTAAGCAGAAGGGGCCGTGAAAGCTCACCTCGCTCACATCACCAGTGTTTCGGGCAGGTTTGGGGCACCAGGCGATGCAGAGAAGTCACTGTGCTGTGCATCGGTAATAAACAGGGAAGCTGGCAACTGTCAGATCTCCTCCTTTCATCTGTAGTGAACTGTTCCTGCTATTTATTCATAGGAATTGTTACTGATACAGGCACAACTACACCGTGCATTGTGGCCCATCCATTCTGATTTTTAAATTTTAGCTGTCTGGCACCGTAGTGGCTGCAAATCTCCCCCGTTGTTTGTGGGCAGAGCCATATAAAACCAGCAGAATGAGTTGTTCTGCACATTTCGCACAAACTTGTTCACAAATAAAACTTGTCTTCTGCCAAGACAGTACATATCAAATTTCCATTCAGTCTGAAACTTCACGTGGGAATAAAAAAGGCATGAAAAATAATAGGGTTTCTAATGGAAATCCCTGCCAATGGTAACTATAGAGAAGATGTAATATCTATCCTTAGGGATGATTTATGACAGTTGATTTAACACTCTCACAATAAACGGGCATTTATTGACAGTAAATTCTGGCAGAAACACATATTGCACCACATTGCCACATTCCCAGTAATGCTCCTGCACTGGTGGGTGTTTATTTCAAGTGCCAGGGAGCTGGGGATGCATTTGGAAGCCACTGGGCCAGGAAGAGGAAAAAAACATTGCTGTTGGATGAAGTGCATGTCATCCCTTGCTTACACCCTTCAGAAACTCAGCACCAGAGAGGAGACGGAAGGAAGCTGGCTGCGCTTTCTCCTTTTGGGCTCAGCATCATTAATTTGGTGAATTCACATTTATCACCGCCAGAGAAGCAGCCGACAGCAGCACACTGACGTGCAAGTTGGGAGCCCCAAGTCCTCTGCTTGCTGCTGCAGGTCTTGGAGCTGCTGTTCCCTCCCCTGGCTCGCTTACCTGCCAGGCACACGGCCTGTCCCTAAAGCTCCGTAAGCTGTCACTGTGATCCCACAGCCTGGACGCTATCTCTAAGGAACTTCTTGAATAAAAAAGATGAGAAGAGGCCCAGCCAGACTTCACGCTCCTCCTTTCTCCCCTTCAGCTTACAGCTAGGTTTTCCCAGCCGACACCCATTCTGAATTCACTACTGACGTTAAATAAGTTAATTGACAAAAATGATGTCTGAACGAGGGCTGAGATCCTAAGAGCAGCCATTAAGAGCTGGAGGCAGCCAATTAGCGCTGACCCGCTGCTCATGGTGCCAGACGAGGAGCGTTCGGGGTGGTTCCTGCCCCGGCCTTGCTCCTCCTGGAGCATCACTTCGTGTGGGGTGCTGCCTGCTGCTGGCTGCAGGGCCCAGCAGGATGCTCAGCCGCCTGCTGAAGCTGCAGGCAGACCGTGCCTGCCCTCACCACCTCCTCCTGTGGCCGTGCTGGGACAGGGTGGGCCAGGAAGGGAGCTGCTGGCCTTGCTGTGCCCTGGGATGCTCAGGAACAAACCAGACTGAAGGATGCAAGCGTTGGTGCTGCCAGACAGACAGCTGAATAACAATTAAATGAGTAAAATATGCACTATTTACCTGTCTCTCAGGCAACACACACATAATTAGTTTATGTAAACACCTAACTCAGATTGGCAAAATAAGCGCCGAGGCAGCTTACTTTCTTGAATAAATATGTATCTTGGTGCTTATGCTGTTTGCTGGCGCTGCTGCGAGAGGCTGTCACACCCAGCTCCACTCCGGGTGCTGCACGACTCCAGGGACCGTGCCCGAGCTGTTCTGACCCGTGGCCACATTCCTGTGATAACTGAGAACTTGCAGATAAGACCTAGCAGCTGGTGCTAACGCCAAACCCCTCTGCAGAGAACACAATTCTTCCTCCACTGAACGCCTGGCGAACTCGCATCGGTTCCACCCGAGTGTGAAGGCTGCAGCCTGCTGTGAGAAAGGAGAGCCAGGCCTGCGAGGGGTGCTGGGGAAGTGCCTGCACTTGGTGTGTTGTTGCCTTGGCAAAATTCAGCTTTTTGGCCTCAATTCAGCACCACACTTAAGATACGCAACACTTGGAGTGTGTGCGAGCTCCGGGAAGAGAGAAGCACGTGCTTAAGTGGCTTTGCTGGATAAGGGCCTTTAAGCCGCTGGCACTTGCCGTAATTCATCATTTTTAATAAAACCCATCTTACCGTGCAACGGCATAAAAGCCGGGGCTGAGTGAAGGAAGCCATCAGGGCCCGCTACCCGACTGCCTGCTTGGGGATGGCGGAGCACGACGAAATGAAAGCTTCACCCTTGGAGGGTTTTGATTCCGATCCTCCCATTCAGCAAATCCCTAATTAGAGGCCACCTTCCGAAAAATCTGCATCGATAAAAAGGATATCAAAGTGCAGCCCTATAATGCCTTTCAGAGCGGAGGACACAACGCCAGATTGGGCTCCCTAATACCTGCTTCATCCTGCTTGTGTGTGACATTTACTGCCAAGGACGTGGGGCTGTGATCAAATCGCAGGAGCTGCTGAAATGACACAGTAAAATTTTATCTCTGCACTAAAAGCGGTTTGATCCTTGAGCATCCATGCAGACTTTTCTCTCTTCATTTTCCGTGGTAAAGCATAAACTCCTGGCTGTTATTTAGCTCGCTAGATCATTTTGACAAATCTGGCTTTGGAGGATCTCTCAGACAGGCAGCTGCTTGCAAGTGCTGACCTCAGAGCTGCCCGTTTCCTTCTTCTGGAAGAAAAATCAGTAGCCAAATTCTTCAACATCTCCTTCAGTTTCCCTGTTAGAGTAGGACATGCACACAGACGTGATGCAAGAGCTGAACATGACTGCAAAGTGACGAGGAAAAGGAACCAACCAGGGCTCAGGCTGAAGGAAAGACCTAGTTCTGTGCCTCCTAGAGAATCCCTGCACCTCCTCTGCTCAGGACCTGTAATGCTCTGTTCTCACCAGCTTCTGCAGCGAGCCCCCAGTTTCTGTTGGAGCAAAGCAAATTCTAGCAAGAGCGCTAACATTGATGTAAAGGTTGCAAGTCACAACGAAGCCACTGTACCTCTAGGAAATGATCAGTAGGATAAGTGATGATGCGAGAGGAGCTGCATCCCGTGGGGGCTCCCTCCAAGCTCCCTGCACAGCACCGCTCCTCCCACACGCCTGGTGTCCCCAGAATGGGAATTACAAGTTTTGCCATGAGGTCAGCCCACGTGCGGTGTCCCAAACTTTGGGGCCGAGCAGCCAGCACAGCAAAGCCCCCTTGGTGCCCTGGGTGCCTCGCTCACACCCCCACACCTCCAGCTTCTGCTCTGGGCTCTGGTGAGCTGTGCCCTGCTTACAGGGGGAATGGGAGCAGGGAGGAAAGGATGGTGCTAATGCAGAGAAACACAGCTGCTGCCCTTGTGGGCTGGCTGGGCCTGGGTTTCAGAGCTCCCAGGTGAAGGCAGTGAGGATGAAACCTTTGAATATTTGCAGTACGGTCTCTGCTGGGGCTTTGGAGCCAGCTCCAGCAGGTGCACGTGGAGCCTTTGGGTTTTGGGGCAAGGCGCTGCCTTTCAGCAGCCAGAACAACCCAAACCCAGCCAGCCCTCCTGTCCGGGGGGCTCTGCAGAGGCCAGAGCAGCTGTGCTGCCCTCTGAACCTCGCAGCAGCAGCAGAGCAACCCGGCAGCTGTCAGCGCTTCCCAGTACGGTTCCTCGTGCCAGGAACAAGACCGACCCCGCAGCGGGGTGTGCTGGGGAGACAGAGGGCTTCTGAGGGATGGCAACAGCTTTCTAATGGCTTCTTTTTTTCTCCCTTTGTGTCTCTCTCCCTCCGTGTCACGCACAGAAAGCTGACCTGGCCGTCGCTCCTCTCACCATCACCCACGTCCGGGAGAAAGCGATCGACTTCTCCAAGCCCTTCATGACCCTGGGGGTCAGCATTTTGTACCGCAAGCCCAACGGGACCAACCCCAGCGTGTTCTCCTTCCTCAACCCCTTGTCTCCCGACATCTGGATGTACATCCTCCTCGCCTACCTGGGGGTCAGCTGCGTGCTCTTTGTCATAGCCAGGTAAGGGGACACTGACGCCACGCCACCCGGCTGCCACCACGCGATGCTTTCCCCGTGCTCCGAATCATTTCGCTGCCGGCACGTCACGGGGATCTAAGCACGCAGCAGGGAGCCGCGGCATTAAACCTGTTTCATTAATGAAATTACTTCTGGCCCATTACCCAGAGGCAGGCTGGTCTGCTAGCGTGGGCTTGCTCACGACTCGCAGGCTCCCCTGTTCTGTTCCATTTCACTGCCACCCTTCCCGTGGAGGGATAATCAGAGCATCAGCCGAAGCACGGTTTATGGTTTTTCACGGCTTCAAAAACAGAGCACAAATGGCTTTTTGCTCAACTGTGGCGTTGCTCTGTAAGTGTTAAACTAAAATGGGCCTGGCTTTTACCTCCCTGAGGCTGGCTGCACACATTCAGACCAACGCCTCTCCTCCTGCTCGGTCCATTTTCAGCGAGGGCACAGCACGGCTTGCTGCTGGAGGCCCAGCATCAGCACAGGGGCTCGGTGCTGGCAGCTCGCTGGACACGAGGGGCTCCATTTGAAGGCCCTTTCAAAATGGAAACAAAGAAATTTAGGAACAGGACTTGCCAGAGGGCAGCAGGCTGCAGGCTGTGGGATTTCTATCTCTGAGTGGCTGGAGAGGGGACACAGAGCCAGTGGAGAAAATTAAAGATGGGCTATGCACAGGGGAAATCTGGTTCCTTCTTTGCCAGCTCGAGTCTGTTACATCCTTTGTGCTGCTCCAGCACGCTAAATGCAGTTATTTGTTTTATTACCATAAATCCGTAAGCCTCTTGTGCTGTGTCAGGGCAGGCAGCTCCACCGGTTAGCAGACCTTGAGCACAAAAGAATTTTAAAATGCTCGCTCTTTTGTGATTTTAGAAATTCACCTGCCTTTCTGTTTTGTTGGCACCAGCCTGGTGCAACGAGGGGTGACGGGACGTGGTTTTCCTGCTCATGCTCCCGTTAGGTGACCTCTCAGGCAGCCCCCCCAGAAGAGGCTCAGCCTCTCACTGCCCCCTGGCTCAGCTCCTGCTTCTGACCCCCCCCAGCAGCAAAGCTCCCCGCAAGCCCTCCCCTGTACCAAAAGGATGCAGAGCGCAGGGCGACGATCTGACAGCGTCTGTTTACAGAAATTAATATGCATCTAATTAGCATGTTTAAAACCTCTATATTTAAAAGCAGCGGAATTTGCATCTATTTGCATGAGTTATTAATTTCACAGAGTCTTTGATGCGATTCACAGTCCAGGGCTGCTCTCAATGTGCAGTGCTGCCTTTCCAAACCCAAAAAAAAGCACTTGCTGCTTCCCTGGCCGTGTCCCTGGCCATGCCCAGCTTCCCGGGTGTTTAAATATTTTGGGTGAGAGCTGTGCCCGGGGAAGTTTCCTGAACACATCCTGCAGTTAGACGCTCGTTTCTCAGTCCTTCCAGTCCCAGCCATGGCAGCAGAGCCTCAGCAGCCTCCCTGCTGCCCCCCCAGCCGTGGCTCTGTGCGGGCCCCTCCGAGGAAGGGCTGGTGGGCTGCGTTTCCCTTGGAGCCTCCTTCAGAAACCAGCCCCTACCTAATCCACTGACATCAATCAGACAGTCAAAGTGAAGATTAAACATGAAACCGCAGCAACCAGAACGCATTAACCCTCATGTTACAACAAATCTGCAATTTCCAACATCCCTCAGGTCCTTGGAGGCATTTAGAGATGATTTCCTGAGTTTACTATGTAATATCCTAATTACACATAACAGCAGTTGTCAAAGTAAACTCCGCTTAGCAGACAGCATTAGTGTTCTCCAGACCATCTGGGATGGTGAAGCAGCCACAGCTCTGATCCTTCCCCTGCAGAGGTGGAGGGCAGGAGGGGCCACGCATCCCTCCTGTAGACAGAGGGTCCCCAGGTGTCTCCTTCCTACTCTGTGCAACGCAGCTCTCCCAAAGGGGGCCGCTACACCAAGCCACGTGCCAGGCTTCCAGGCACTGTCCTGGGGTCAAACAGAAGCCCTCTGAGCAGGGACGTGAGCAGGCTGCCACTGCCCAGGGCCCACGGGGAGCCCAGCACAAAGCAAGCCACCAAGGTAACCCAGCAGCTTAGTTCAACCTGCGGGCAGTGTACCACACAGGAAAGGCACCCGACTTGAGGAGGGGATGAGAGTCGTGTTGCCATCACCACCCCGCGCTTCTGCCAGCTCAGAGCCAGCCAGAGCCAGCGGGGCTGGCTGGGGAAGCAGCTGGGGGGACAGAAAAAGGGGGCAACTCGGCTAAATCGCACTGCCCGCGTTGTCGGGGCTGCAGGATGAGGGCCTCAGTGGTTCTGCTTTGTGTTGGAGAGAGAAGGCACCAGATGCTCTCAGCAGGGAAAGATGCTCATCTGGGAAAGTGAACCCAAGGTAATTACAAAAGGGAAAAAATATTGTGGTGATTAATAGGATCTCTTCACTCTGTGCCTCTGTTAGCCATGCAGAACGTAGCCGGATGGACTCTGCTGCCCTAACTCTGGGGCTCCAGTGCCAGAATGATTACACTGCTCAGGCAGCTTGGGATCAGAGCTCACAGTTTTACTTTTATGGCTTTATTTTTCTCTACTCGCCTTAGGCCAATTCCAACCCAAATTATCCAGACCCCACTCTCAAAGCGTGTTAAATGTGCAAATTCCATCTACGCAAGAAATTCCCTGCACTAAATACTGAGAAAAGGCTGAAGGAGATGCTGGGCCAGGCTCCCACGTGGAAGCACCTTTGAAGCCACCTTCTGCAGCCAGGGAAGTCCAGAGGGGCTGTGCGGATCGCAGAGGGGCTGCTCAGCCCCCAGCAGCCCCTCCACACTGTGAGCAGTGGCCAAGAGATGGGGACCTGGGCTTGCAGTGACCCAACACGTGGTGGCCACACTCCCGAGCCCTCGGAGTCCCCTTCGGCTGCTCGCCGTCTGTGCCTCCCTCCCTTCGTTTTTGTTGTTCTCTCCTCCTACTTTTTCATCCAGGGTCTCTCGTGCTGGTTTATACTGCCACAATGAGCCGTCCTGCAGCACGATTCATGTCTTTCTTACATCGCAGCAGTTACGAGGTAATATAACATTTTTTTCCCGTCAGGCTGCTTTGGGGCTGAAATAGAGTCTCTAAAACACTGCCGTTACAGTTTCTTTTTCACATGCTTTGCTCCTGACATTTCTTCTGTCTTCATATTCTCCTAAAGAACATCAAGTATTTGGTGTAATTAAGGTTCTGCAGGAATCTCTCTTAACACACGGAGATGGAGAGCAGGAGATTTCACGGGGAAGATATGGGGCATATTTATTACATCCAGAAGTAATTGAAACAATATCTGCTCTGACCCCAGCGAGGCCTCTCAAATCCAACCCTCAGGAGAAAACCACAGCCAAAATAGCAAAGCCATAATTCAGAGACGTGAGTCTCCTGAACTAGGCACCGGAGTCCTCTGCTGATGCTATAATCATAGGTCAACGCCACTTAAAACCAACTTAGGGACTATTTAGAGGCAGGCAAAGGATGTCTTTGATCCATCTCTCCTTTTAATCAGCCTTCTTGCTTATCCTTTCTGCTCCAGCCACCTGGGCACCACAAGCACCCACATCAGGGGTTTCATGGGGTCTGTCTGGTGGCTCTGGCTGTCGTGAATTATCACCTGGTCTCGGACTCACAGGGCCTTCAAATCACAGCCGAACCCCTTCTGGTGTTCACCAGGGCTGGGGCATTGCCGTTCCTCTTAATTGAAACAAGGACTGGGTCGTCCATAGCAGATTTCTCCGGGGATGCAATTTAGGCTCAGAAGTGTTTTGTGTTAGATCTCATCTTTAACTAAACCTTCTTTGAAATGCTCCCGTTTCCCTGCCAAAAGGAGACAGGAAAATAATCGCACTTTTTGATGAAATATTTCTCAGCCCCTGTTTGCACCTGCGGAAGAGGGAAGCCAGCCCAAGGTGAATCCTGAACAGCCCCCATTTATTATGGCTCCAGCTGCATGGGGTCATCGAGCTCCGCTCACTTCTTCCTTCATTACCCCTCTGTTTCCTTTAATGGTCCCACCAGCTTTTCAAGCACTGACGACTGTTGCTGCTTTGCAGTTTTCTGAATATTTCTCTATAATTTGAGCAGCACCAGTAGGTTCTCACTCAGAGACCTTGAAGTTCTTCAGTGTGTCATCTTGTCAGGCTCATTTGATCTTACCAATTCCCTTTCCATCTCACACTCTTTCACTGGCAGCCCGATAAAGTTTTCATCTAATTCTTGAACTCTGCCTTTATTCAATAGACAGGGCTTAGGCGCCATCCTTTATACACCTCCGGCATAAATTTACAGCAGGTTTAAAGGACTAAGCAGCACATAAGGCAAGGTCTCAAAACAGCCTAATTTTTGTTTTCCTCTCCAATTTTCCCTTACTTTAAGAAGCACGGGGAGGCAGGCGGTCTGGATGGTGAACAAGTGAGGCTGTTAGGGTGCAGCCCGAGCCCATCCAAACCTCTCTGGGGATACATGAGCTCCGTGCCATGATGGCTGATTGCTCATTCACCATTTTATGGGTTCTGCAAGAAGGTCCACAGCGTGAGTGTGCGTGGAAAGCAGAGATTAGGGGTAACTGTTTGTTTGGGGGAGTTCCAGGAGGAGCGTCTGAGAGCTGTTGTTCTGTTCTCCCAATGCTTCCAACCGGCTGCCAGAGGACACCTGGGAAGTTAAGTGACAAGACATCCCCTTGAGCAGCAGCACGCCTGGCAGAGGATTGCACAGAGCAATGGCTCCTAACACAAACTGGGGGTTGGGCTTGGAGAAAGGGCTGTTGTGAAGCTACAGGGATTTCAGAAGGAAGCGGAGATGATAATTAATGCCTGGTTCAAAAGCAATTATGCCAATTATGTTTTTAATTTAATCTGCGCAAAATTTGGGACTCTAAGAAAACGCAAACAAACAGCTCTAAAAACATTAGCATCTATCCTGATGAGCATCCTCCCCGGATCCTGGCTAAGAGCTGTATTCCAGGCGGTGCTCACATGCCCGTTGCAGGCAGGATTCACAGGGAGATGAGCAGAGAAAATTCCCTCTGTTTTGCCCAAGAACTGCCGGGCTGTCCGTGAAAACATGCCCCCTGCTGAATGCCTGCTCTTCCAGGGTCCGAGCATTGCAGCAGCCCACGGTGAACCCACACCAATTCCCACTGTGCCGATGCCTCAACATGCAGAATTTATGCTTGTCAGGCTGGTGGCGAGCTCGTCTTCTCGCCTAGTGAAATCTCACACAGATGCCCACGTGCCCTGAACACATCCTGCCCACCACTGCGTGCACTGGTTGCTGTTGGGTGGTGTGGTGCTGAGCAGGACATCAGCAGAGACCAAAGGCTTTGGAGAAGCAACCCGAAACACCTCAAAGAAAGACCTGGCTCCCCCCAGGTTTCCTTACTGTCTGCAGTGTGGAACATGGGGCTTCCAGCCACGCTGGGCACTTCCAAAAATCGTGGCTGAATTTACCTTTCCTTAATAAGCCGCACACCTGAAGGGTCAGCGTGCCCTGTGCAGCAGCACCAGATGTATTCCAGTTTTTCTCCTGGCCCTTTAGGGTCTGATGCCTCATCCTGACTAACGAGCTCTCTCTTTCCTTGTGCCACCACAGGTTCAGCCCGTATGAGTGGTACGACGCTCATCCCTGCAACCCCGGGTCGGACATCGTGGAGAATAACTTCACCCTGCTCAACAGCTTCTGGTTCGGGATGGGCGCACTGATGCAGCAAGGTATGGTGGGCGGCTCCTCCCCGCATGCCCTGCTGCCACTTCTCCACCACCGGCCTGTTGTTGTGGCTTTTTGAATGCAAAATTTAATTTATTGGTGACAGGAACAAGATAAAACATCTTTGTGCCTGTCAAAACCAAGCAGCGGCTGCAAAAAGAATACCGGTGGCACCCGCCTCGTGCAGTTATCACGGTGCAGGGCAGCGGGGCTGGCTCCGAGCAGGCACGGTCAGCACCGAGCTGTGCGAGAGGGGGCGGCTGCCACAGGCAGCCCTGGGGTGCTGGCACCCTGGTGCCCACGGGCTCCAAGAACTGACCTCACCAGGGGGAACCCACGGTGGTCTGCAGCTCAGGAGGGCCCGGTGGCTCTGTCTGCTGCTATCTGCTCACCTGGAGCTGCTTCTCCTCTGCTAGGATGGAGGAACAGAGGGACGTGTGTGGGGCTGAGCCCTGCCTGCAGCCCCCCAGGAGAAGCATCCGAAGCATCCGAGGTTTTCTGTGCCAGGAACACCATCAGATTTCTTCTGTGGGAGAGCAGGCTGGAGCATCTCACACTTTTTTTATTTTTATTTTTAGCACCTGCCTCTCTTTGTGCTTTCCGTGGGTCAAAGCCCCAGCCCAGCAGCTCGCCCCATGTCTGTGGGCACAGGCTCATCGCTCACCCAGCTGCAGCTGGCTGCCCGCACACAGGTGCCCCACTACCAATAATTACTATTAATGATGTGTGCACGCTCTGGCAGGTGTCAGAAGGAGCAGCTCCAGAGTCTGCCATCTGGAACACGCTGCTAGATGATGGAGAGGCGGCGTGTCTGCACGTGCACTGCTGCTGTGTGCAGAGCAGCACCCGCACTCCGTGCCCCGCAGAGAAATGCTGGTTGAGCCCCCCTCGGCTGTCTGAATCCCCCAAATAGCCACATCCCACAGGCTCTGTGCATTTCTGCTCCTGTTAATTCAAGCAATTTGCTCTAATTCAGGATCTCTGTCCTGACTGGCTCTGCTTTAAAGCCACTTTACAGAAGACAGGGCTTCTTGCCGTCTGATCTGTCCCTGTTTTTATCCTCTTCTGGTCAGTCTGGCCATTTTGGTCATTCTGGTCATTTTATCCTTTTCTGGTCATTCTGCACACTGGGAAATGACCCCCAGACAAGGCGGGTCACAAGGAGATTCGCCAGACAGCTCGGCCTGGCCCTCACTGCAGGCAAGACCAAATGCTTCTCGTGCTGCTGGTATAGGACATCACCACGGCAGGGACCTCCAGAACGGGACAGGGATACGATGGTGGCCGTGTACACGGATGGGACAGAGCACATGGAGAGGTGCAAGGAGCAGCATAAATCCGTGGGGAAGACAGCACAGGGTGAGCTTGAGAGCGGTGCTGAACGAGGAGCAAAACTCTGCTGTGATCTAACTGCAGAAAATCCAGAAACGGAAATAAGTGGAAAATGAGCAACGCTTGTCACACTTTGATTTATCGTGTCTGGGCAGTCACGGCCAAGGAGTAAAGGACCCGCAGCGCTGGCTTGGCGGCGTGCACAGTGCTGGGGCTCCGTGCTCCTCCTGTTGCAGCGTGGCACAGGCTTCCCAGATCTGCTGCCCTGATGGACAGTGACAGCTCCCAGCAGGGTGGTTTAGCGCGATGAATCATCCTCTTATCAGATGCTTAGAAATGAAAAGAGCCGCATTCTTTTTAAGTCTATTCTGCATCTAAGAAGAAAAATATTTCAAAGCCAGACTGATGTCACACCTTGCAATGCATCAAAGGGCAAGAGATGGAATGGGAAAGGAGCAGGATCTTGAGAAGAACTAAAGCAGCGCTGAGACCCAAGGCTCCTCTGCTTCCCGGTGCCTCCTTGCTGCACTCAGATGGGAGAAAAGCTGTGCTCCACACTAAGCTTTAATGCCACACTGCCTGAAATTGCTTTGCCAAGCCTTATCTTTGTTGCAAATTCCAGGTTGGATATATCCTCTGAATGCAGTTGTTTTAAACCCAGAGCTCTTTTCTGGCTTTAAAAGGTGTCTTGGGTGATTACAAAAATAGCACAACCCATTTAGTCCTTCATGTCTGCTCAATAAAAGTCACTCCAGACCTGTTATACACCTTTTATGCTGCAACATCTCCAGCTTCCCTACTTCTAACCACTATTCAAAGCACTGGACCCTGATAGTTCCTTTCTCTCACTGTTTGATTTTTTTTTTAAATCATGTGTATTTGAACACACTCCCTAGAGTGAGTCCTTTGAAAAGTAATCCATATAAAAGCAAAGCACTTTTTAAATGGCTGGACAAAACACTCATAAAAGTTCATAAATGGCTTGCTATTTAAATCTCATAAAAGCTGCCTAGTTAATTACTTCAGTTTGAATGTTTCCTGTAAATTGTGCACTGTACCCAAGGTCAGCATTAAAGGGAGAGGGTTTTTCTGTGAATGCTACAAAAAAAAAACAACCACTGATTTTCTTGCATGCAAGATGTCTGGATAATTTGCCTCGAAAACAGTTGGCTTTAATTGCGTCGCTGTTGCAGTCTGACAGTGAAACCTAATCCTTCATCTGTACATATGTATATAATGTACCCACGTACGTATAAAACGCGTCCTTTCTCGCTTTTGTTTCCTCTTCCCTCCCACTCCCTCTCCCACCCCAGGCTCGGAGCTGATGCCCAAAGCTCTGTCTACACGGATTATTGGTGGCATATGGTGGTTCTTCACCCTAATTATCATCTCGTCCTACACGGCCAACCTTGCCGCCTTCCTGACGGTGGAGAGGATGGAATCCCCCATCGACTCGGCAGACGACTTGGCAAAGCAGACCAAAATAGAGTACGGAGCAGTGAAGGATGGAGCTACCATGACCTTCTTCAAGGTGAGCCCCGGCACAGGCTTTCCACCATCCTGGCAGAGACGCAGCCCTGCCTGGCCAACAGGAGCGAGAACAAGACCAGAGACAAAAAGCCTCTTAAGGCACCACTGCAGAAGCAGGTTGCTTCTGTCTCCCATCTCTGTTAAGACCTCGACCCATCAGCTTAGCTTGCCTACAGTCATATCACAGCTAAATCCCCCTCTCCCAGTAGCTAACTGAGGTCACAGTTATAAAATCACGGTGATTTTGCAGCTCTGGGGACTGTACCCAGCATTCACTCAGACACCCAAAATGAAGCACGCATTAGGCAGAACAGGACAGGTGAATCTTACGTTAAAGCCCTACAGAAAACTCTTCCATTCCTTATGCATCGCCCCTATTTTTGCATCCCACCCACTGCCATTTCTATCCTGTGTCTGCACTAAAAAATGCATGGAGCCCCCGAGGGCTCTCTGTCTGCAGGGGCAGAGAGCAAACAAAAACAGCCTGGACACATGCTGCAAAGGGCTTGGGGCATTTTAGAGCTGAAGTATCTTGTCTGTCCTTTTAGGTATCCACATTAACATAGCCAGGTTTTATTTATCTCTGAAACCAATGTGAGCTAACACCACCAATGCATCACACTCAGACTACGTTTATTTCTTCTGCTTAAAGCGAGGTTTCCCAAGTTAGTCAACAGAGCGGAGGAAGGTGCTAAGGACACTCATTATTTCACTACTGCCTGAAAAACTGAAAGAAACTGGGAAAGTTAAAGACACCTTTGGAACCACAGCTGGCCTGTAAAAACACACTTCTCAAAAAGAGACAAAAAAGGACTAGAATTGAGGGGTGATTAACCTAGCAATGAGCACCCTGGCTCTGAGGGGAATTCAGGTTTAAAGCAAGGCCGTGGTGCACGGTGCAGGCTGGGGGGGCTGAGCAGCCCCTGGGGAACTCTCCTTGGCCATGACTCGGTGAAGGAGCCACGCTCCCCTCCATGCTTATTGTGATAGGCAGCAACACAGCCCGGTAAAGATGCATGGAGGGGTTTGTTTGGTTTGATCTTTAATTAATCCGGGAAATGCAAATATTGCAGGGAAGAGCATGCTGCTGCTTGCTCACTGCAGAGCTGGGGCACCACGTTTGTCTGCGGCAGGGCCAGCTGCCTCACGCTGCCATCCAAACCCACAGCAGCTGTAGGAGGAGGCTGACTTTTACTGGTGTGCTTTAAGTACCCTTTCCAATAAGAGTTTTATATGGAAATAAAAGGAAACTCTATCTTTTTCTTTTTTTTTTAAGTCATCAAGGCCGTAGCATCTTTATTGCTTCCTATCATTATCCATCAGAATCATTCCTCGGGCTCCTAACGGGCATTTGGCAGGGTTTATTGACGCAGCGTATTTTCCTTTTGCTGTTTTATTATTATTGCTGTTTGGAGATGAATTATCAGGGATGTCCCCTCTGACAAGCGTTCAATTACTGGTACAGTGGGAGCACTTGTGTGGGATGCCATGCTCACTTGTCCCTTGTGCACAGGAAATAGGGGAGAGCGATTTAAGGCTTCCCCAAGCATCCCCCCACCCCGCAGCGAGTCCTTGGTGATATCACCGGACAAATCCTGCGGCGGGTTCGGGCGTCACACTGTCAGAGATGCCCCCCCAGAGCACGAAGGTCCCAGAGGGTGCAGAGCAGTGACCGACCTCATGCTCAGTGTTGGAGAAACCCCAGTGGAAAGCATGGTCCCAAAACGCCGAACGGTTCTGCTGCCTGGTGGAGGGCTGGTGGAAGGCTCGTGCTGAGCCCATCGTATCCCTGCAGAAGTTCTCCTGTGGGCCAAGCCAGGGCCGTGTCCATGGGTGTGCCAACGCGGCCCCATGGGCTCGCCCGTGCGGCCCCACCACCTACGGCAAAGGGGAAGCAGAAGCCAGCCTTTTCCTAGCTGCACTGGCAGACTTCGACTTCATGAAAAGAACTTTTGAGAAGCTATTTATTCTCTGGCAATGCAGATTGAGTTACAGGAATAAACAGATCAATTAATTTAGGAGCAGCATCTAGCTTTCATGGCAAATCATGCCAGGAATCCTTCATATCTTGCAGAAGATGCTCTCTCGCTCTGAACAAATGCTGGGTTTAATGTGTCGTTTGGCGTACGGGTGTGAGAGTGTGTGGATGTGTGTACATATATATTCACTTGTACAGAAATGTTAAATCCTCAAGAGTAAGTATCTTCAGTCGGTGCAAATCAATTTATTTTTTCATACAGGCTGGAATTGAAAATCGTAAGCCTGAAAGTTACTTTCTTGCCAATTTCACTGATAAAAAAGCATATATGTCTTGGCAAGATGCCTTATATTGGCTCCTCTAAACTATTCCATTAATTTATTTGGGTGACTGGTCTTGAAGCATTGGTTATTAAAGACAGCTTCTGAGCTGTGACTCTAAAGAATGAGCTTGGAGGCGTTCTCGGTGCCTTTGCTGCATTCCGAGGGGCTGGTGCTCAGCCTTCCCTACACGCGTTTCACTTGGCACCAGGGCAGGGGCTGATTCAGATGCTGTCTCAAGGCCCAGATTCGGACGTTATTTTACCCTGGCCAAAACTCAGACGAGTCAGTGGGCGAGGTGCAAGCAGGAGACACAACCCCCTGGTGTGAACCCCGGCGGTGATTAACAGCTTTCAGCCACCGCCCCCGCTTATTAGCAATGATCTGCGCGATTCCCAGTGCTGGGGAGCTGCCGATGGAACTGCTCTCGGGGGATGCATCTCAGAGCCACCCTGCGGGTTCTCTTCATCTGCCCTGGGCAGCAAAGCAAGGATCCCATGGGGCAGGGGAGCCAGGGCATCCCACAAGGGCTCGCTGCCTTCCACCACCTCACCTCCTTGTATACAGCCCACAGCAGCACGCGTTGCTTCCATCGAGATGAAATGTGCACCTAGCCACCGCACCACAAATACCAGTTCACACCAGTAACAAACCCCAGAGAGGATTTTTTTTCAGGTAGATGACGAGCCATAAAAACAGAGGTCCTGCAAAATAAAATGTCCAAAAAGAGCCCGGCGACATCAACACAATTTATGTGCATTCCTTACTGGCAATTAATTTACTACTAATGAGTTGTTATGCCTAATGAAGATGGTTTTGCCTATCTGAGCGGTATGTTCCCAGGTGCCATCATCCCCGTTCCCATAAATAAACAGCCACCTCTGAAGTACGGCTGAGGAGCTGAGGAGGGAAGGGAGGAAGGAGCAACTTTGCTCCCTGATAAGCACAAAACGGATCGTGGCTGCAGCTCGCAGGAAGGAGCTGGGAGCTGGAGCACCACACACTCCCCAGAGTTGCTCTTGCAATTTTTGACTGATGACTGCTCTCCCGATGACTGGCAATTGCTCCTAAATTGGACTTTTAACAAATAGGCGCGTCCATCAACCTGCTAGTCCCGCACTGAGAATTACAGCTGGCGGATTTGTACTTGGGAAAGAAGCGCCCTTATCTCCCAGTAGCCAAGTTAAAGAAATGAATGGGAAATAAATTCTGAGGAGGTGGTGGCAGGTTTCAGACAACAGGGAGAGCCTGCATCGCCTCACCTTCTCTGTGGGTTCGACCTGCCCTTGCCAACACAAGTGACCACATCCTTCTCTCTGGGGAAGACGAGGCCAAAGCAAGCAGCGGCACCCACTGCGGGGAGACACAAGGCCATGAGGAGGACTGGGATGGGAACTGCTAGGGCAGGGTGTGCTCACCACTGGCTCCGTGGTCCTGCAAGCAGCTCTCGCTGCGGGGAGGCTCCTGCCCCAGCCCACACACCCCGAGCAGTGGCGGAGCTACGAAAGCAGCGCTCATCCTGGCATCCCAGAACACAATTAAGTCCTTGGAGCAGGTCAAAGGGAGTGAGTTAAGAAGAGAAAAGTGTTTTTTCTGTTCCAGGGAGCCCTGTCTCATGTAATTTAAGTTGCCTGAAGAGCTACAATGCCTCATGCAAGTCCTATTAGCTTCACTAAATGCAGCCTATTGATTTTTTGCCAGTTTATTTTGCTCTGTGCTTTAAACTGGGAGAACACTGATGTTGTTTAAGAGCCCTGTGTCAACACCCGAGGAGCATTAAATGCAGGAAGAGAAAGAGCAAAAGGGAGAGCCAGTGAACCCAGAGGCCTCTGATCCGAACTATATAAATGTTAAACAAGTCGTTATCAGCAAGTCGAGGATGCTATTCATTTCAATTACCCATCGTAATGCACAGATATTTAATAATCCTTTTGGAGGCTACATTTCTTGCTGCTCTTTGAGGCTTGATAGATGCCACAAATCTACCTTACAGGCACTGGACCGGATTTTCGAGTGAAGGAGATTATCCTGCCTCTTGAATGCAGTTTGCTCCAGAGCTGCAGGTTCATCAAGTGGATTATAGCAAGTATGAATTTTAACCAGCAAGAAACGGGTCCATAATAGTACGTTTGTTAGACACACTGAGAGAAGGAGGTGGCTAGGCAAAGCATTTGGAATATATCAAGCACGATGAGGGACTACACAGCAACAGCCTACACAGGGACAATTCAGAATGTGGCCGTAGATAAATGCTACATTCAAAGTGTTGTGGAAAGATATAAAATATCCATATTCTCACCCAACACATTTCTAGAAGAAAAAAACATTCATATGAGCAGCAAGCTAGACAACACATCCCCCCTTTTCTAACACAATGCCTACTGATAGTGGAAGAATGTCCATGTTTATTTTTAGCCGTAAGACAATCTTCTTGAATATTTCTAAGCCTCTGTTTACGTGGATATGTTAAATTTGTTTGGCAGTTGCACATATCTCAGAGGAGACATGTTTCCTTGTGATGCTTGGGGAAAGACAAAAATATAATAGAGTGTGTGAGAGGGAGAAAAACATGCCCTCTGAAATGTTGCCTGTCTTCTCTCATTGTGCAGAAACATTACAGGGTAAGCAAAATTCTGGTTAGGAAACTAATACATTCAAGCAGATATACTGATAGCCTGTCACACCAGCAGGTCTGCAGGGCATCACAGCAGGGCCTTGCTGAAGCGGAGGAATAGTTCAGTTCCACCTACAGCTCCTGGTCTGCAGAGCTGTGACTCTTTTTGCTGAGCATTTATTTGCATAAGGTGAAGTGTGCTGGAATCTGTCTCTTTTAATGGCAATTTGATGCCACACATTAGTGGGCAGTGAAAGCAGAGAGGTATTTAAGACACGGCACACTGGTAACAGTCCCATTAAGGAGCCTGTTCTCAAACTGGAATTTATCTATTTATTATAAAAAGACCATCTTTTGCCGCAAATAGGCTATTAATTTGTATTTTGGGGATGGGGGGTATTGTTTTTCCAGAAATCCAAAATTTCCACGTTTGAAAAAATGTGGGCCTTCATGAGCAGCAAACCCACGGCACTGGTGAAAAGCAACGAGGAGGGCATCCAGCGAACGCTCACGGCCGACTACGCCCTGCTGATGGAGTCGACCACCATCGAGTACATCACCCAGAGGAACTGCAACCTGACTCAGATCGGGGGGCTCATCGACTCCAAAGGCTACGGCATTGGGACTCCCATGGGTAAGGGGCACTGGGGGGGTCTGTAGGTAGCCCAGGAGGGGGGCTGCTCAGCAGACATACAGCGGGTGGGATCACATAACCCACTCCCAATTCTCCATTTCCAAATACCCAAGCTCACACTGTCTGCCTGTTGCAGGGATGTCTGAGCAGCCCTCCCAACAGACAAAGTCCCTACTTGGTGGGATTTTTGCCTGACTTTCCCATCTGTGTGTACTGGTGTCCCCCCTCCGCAGGCTCCCCGTACCGGGACAAGATCACCATCGCCATCCTCCAGCTGCAGGAGGAGGACAAGCTGCACGTGATGAAGGAGAAGTGGTGGCGGGGCAACGGCTGCCCTGAGGATGAGAACAAGGAGGCCAGCGCTCTGGGCATCCAGAACATCGGTGGGATTTTCATCGTTTTGGCAGCAGGCCTGGTGCTCTCAGTCTTCGTGGCCATGGTGGAGTTCATCTACAAGCTGCGCAAGACAGCAGAGCGCGAGCAGGTACCAATCCCCTCCGCCTCCCTGCACCACCACAAAGCAAAGCAAACTGGAATTAGATAGGTAAAGGAAACCTGCCCCCAGCAAGCCCGCAGGATTTGCTACCCCTGACTCACAAACCCAGCAGACTCCAGCAGCCAGCCAGCAGGGAGCACCCAGAGCAGCGGCACTCCAACAGGCACCCCCAGCTCTGCCTTTTGGCACGGTTTAGCATGTCAAAGGCACAGCTCTTCCCAAAGCAGAGGGTCAGCCAGAGGCCCACTGAAGTCCCACCAAGCACAGCCGATGCTTTAAACGCAGCCCAAACCTTGTGATTGCCCTCTGCAGAGCCTAGCTTCAGCAGCCTCCTGCTCAAGCAGAGACGAGTGGCATATTCTGGGGTGATAACAGTCTTTTTGGGGTGATAATGGTGCTTTTTGGGGTGATAACAGTGCTTTTTGTCTAGTAACAGTGCTTTTCTGTCCCCATTTCTCCCCAGCGCTCCTTCTGCAGTGCCATGGCTGATGAGATCCGGCTGTCGCTCACCTGCCAGCGGCGGGTCAAGCACAAGCCCCAGCCCCCCGTCATGGTGAAGACGGACGCCGTGATCAACATGCACACCTTCAACGACCGCCGGCTGCCAGGGAAGGACAACATGACCTGCAACACCGGATTGACGCCCGTGTTTCCCTAGGGAATGGGACCTGGGGGGCGGGAGGGAAGGAATCGCGTCAGTCAAAGCTGGATGCACTCTTAACTAGGGAAGAAAGGATTAAAAAAAAAAAAAAAAGAAAAAAAAAGAGAAAAAAAAAGCTTGGTTTGGTTCATTTCAAGATCAAGGCCTTTAAAACACAGCTGCATCAATCACCGGCACAGAAGCACCAACTGCAAAGCACGGACTGTAACATGGGTCTTGGGGCTTTTCTGTTTCATTTTTGTTATTTTCCGTTCTTTATTTTTTTACAGCTTAGATCCTCCAGGCCTCATGGAGTCCAAACACACTACCATCCAGGAGTCTGATGTTTACATACCGAACACACGGAGGCAAAAACGAATTGAGCCAAACTGACCCTCGGTGGGTAACGAGGAGCCCCTGAGCAAGGCTTCTTTAGCATGGCAATAAAAAGAAACACTTTGCCCCTCCGGGTGTGGAGTGAGCAACGGTCCGAGTGAGCACCCATCCCAAAGTGACGGACACGACACATTTAGGGCACGCTGGCCAGGAACGGGAAAAGCACCTGCGAAGCTCTGCGATGCTCCAGGCTGCGCCCTACATCGACACAGCTCGTGGTGGCCCTTTGCCCCCCGGCCGTGCTGGCTGGAGTCACCACAGCACGAAGTCCATGCTGGGGCCTGGAGGGAGAAGGTAAAAGAAATGCTCATCAGGAGACCCGAGATGGTCAACCCTGAAGGGGAGAGCAAGCTCGAGTGACCGGAGTCCCGGCCAGGAACGGGACCATGTGCATGGGGACTGTGCCACCTCTGAGTGCAAGCACCCCAACGCCAGCCCACAGTGACACTGCGGCTCTGTCGCGATCACACTCAGACCAGGAGAGGACAGTACGCGTGGTTTAGGACTAAATGCTCCACGTGGCACCAGAGACCTGCGAGGCGAAGCCTCAGCCTGCAGGGCCAGGGCTGGCCCAGGACAAACAGCACTGTGTGCGCCAAACCTGACACCCCCTCGCCCTGCCTGGTGACCCGCAGCCTCGCTGGCAGCATCTCCATGCCATTCACACAAACATGCTGACATCTTTTGCAGAAATCTTCCAAATCTTCATCTTCCCCAGGACTGTGTTCTTATTTTCAGGTTGCTCAACCCAGGAGGCTGGTCCTGCGGATGATCTCGTCAGAATTACCAAAGACCCCTCTGCTGACCCAACGGCTCGAGTGCCACTGCGCCGCTCCGTCCCTCTGTGGATAAATTTCTCCCCAGCCATCTGCAAAATGAAACCAACAGAAACAGCCCTGCCCATGGAAACCCAGAACGTCCCAAGGAGTACTGCAAGGTGCTTAAAAGCTCTGCTTCAAACACGGGCATTGATGAGAGGAGCAACCTCCTTCCCTAGCAGACATGACAGCGCCCTACTGCTGGACACCCCCACGCCCCGAGCCACAAGGCTTTCCGCAGGGTTTGTCTAGGGCCCCAAGGGACAAACCTGCCTGCAGCCCAGTTCAGGGGATTTTCCCACCTGTTTCCTTCTCAGTCTCAGTTATTTGAAGGCTATCTTTGGAGCTGATTGGAATTAGCAAATGAGCTGAAGGGGAGATCTCTGTTTTTTCCCCCCCATCACAGACCACAATTTGTCCTTATGTCATTTTTCATGATGTAAAGAACCAGCACAGTGACCCGAAACAAAAAAAGCTGGATTTGTTGTCATATTGTGACTCATGTAAAGATATGCAAAGGATTTACATTTATTTTCACCTTTTCATAGAAACCATGAAAAATCAGAGTTGAAAGCTGCCAACTCAACGCGCATCATCATCTTCACAGTTTGCTGACCAAACACCTACAGCAGAGGACGGATTGGGGAATGTGGCAATTTCCCAAAGCTATTGACGTATTTTCCATACTTCTTTACCAATCCTTACGCCTGTCAGAGCAGCAGAGGTTATGATGTCTTTGCAGATTTCTAAGCTCTTAGAAAGGGATTTTTACAATCACGCCAGAGATAAAAACAAAGCCTGAAATTGGCTTTAAATGTCCTGAGAGTAAAACACCACTGAAAACCATTTTGCTTCTCGGCAGATTCTTTTTACATAAGTAAATATCACTAACGCCATAAACACCCTTTGTTCATCTCTGATGCCAGTTCGATCTCATTTTACTCACCAACATCCCAGAGCGCCAGGTGAGCGGCCGGAACCACTAGTGCTATCCGCCAGCAAGACGAAGCCTTGCAGGTTAACCTGCTCTCTCTCCTCTCCTCTGACCCTAAATCAGCACTTCATGCGTCTCCGTTACGGTTTGCTATTTGAGATCTTGGTCACTGAAGGCTTTGACTCACGGCATCGTCGGCACCGCCAGGCAGGGGGCAGCTGGGCAACACTCGCCGGGAGGGTTCCTGACCTCATCCTCCTGCAGTGCCCCCGAGGATGTGCAATCACTGTGCTGCTGAACCCAGCCCAGGGGCTTCACCCAGAGCAAGCAGTGCAGCAGCTTTCCATGGAGAGCAGCGATGAGCCTGACAACGAGCAGTGGCAGCTGGGCAGCCTTGGAAGGGGCAGATGTGATGCCGAAGCCCCGAAGCCTTTCGCAAGCTGCTCTGTGCCCCGTTTGTGGCCGCCGGCGACTCCTGTCCTGGAACCATCCAACTTCCAGCCTTCCTGAAAGTGGTTTCTTTCTTGGCGTGATGGGCAGAGGGACTGAAAAAGTGAGGAGGGAAGACAAAAAGCAGGTCTGGGCTATTAAACTGTGTCTAAACTGCTGCCATGTCTGTTCACTGTCCCTTACCGCTGCTTCTTCCTCCTGGGTCTCCTGTAAGCCAGAGCAGGGACGCAGCGGGTGGCTTCCGTTGGGGTTGCTTTTCCCTTTAGACTTAATAACGAGTGTTGGGTACAAACGGCGAGCCTACAAATCCACAAAGAAGGTGAATATGCAAAGGGAAGCAGCTCCAGCTCTGGGCAAGTGCTGTCCCCTGCGGGACAGGTGCTGTGGGGAGCAGGATTCAGCCGGCTGCGGGCACTGGCGGGCTCTGGGAGGTCCCACAGGGGGATCCACAGCCCCTGAGCGGTGCACGGGGAGCATTCCTGCAGCACGTGTGAACAAACTGGGACAAGACCCAGCCCCAGGGCTGGCCGGGCACTGGCGTGGGAAGCCCTTTGCTGTCCGTACCTTTCTTTGACATGTTTCTCAAAAAAAAGCAAGAAAAGAACAAAAAGAAGTAAAAAAACACAAACAACAACAGAAAAAAAGTTGGATAAAAAAAGGAAAAAAACTGGTCTCCGTGATATTCAGGGGATTTTCCTTTGTGGACATGCAGAATTTCTATGAATATAGTTTTTTGTAAACATTTTGTAACAATTTTGGTTTCATAGTAACTGTGTTACTTGCTGATCATTCTAGGCTGATGTAAATAAAATTTCCAAAAAAAAAAAAAGAAAAAATTCTGATTATTTTCCTTTTTAAGACACTGTGATATATCAAAGTGCACAGTTTGCTGTATGAAGTAATATGGTTTTAAATTTTAAATAAAAATTCATTTCTAGAAAACGATGAAGCTCGTGCCTGTTTCTGCTCAACACCTCCCTCTTCCCTGGTTGAAACCTGGTCCCTAAAACCAAGCCGGTTCACGACATCCCCATCTCTCCCGGTGACCAGCCATAAAAACCCAGCAGGAAAAGACCCAATTCCGGACCAAACGCAACCATCCCAGGAGAAGAGCTGCTGGTGCTGCTCGCCGGAGGGGACCTGTGCTCGTTTAGGGGTGGTGAGGACTGACTTGGTCAGTGGAGAGGAGCACCAAGACCGCCCTCTGCTTCCCCTTCAACCTGCAGGAGGGGACGAGGCTCCCGCTGCCCGTGGGTACCCGAGGAGCCTGGCAGCAGCCAAAGGAGTCGGTTCGTCCGTTCCCCGAAGAGCCACCTGCAGAAGCACTCCCCCGACGTGTCTTTCCCGAGGCTCCGTGGGTTTATTCCTCATTCCGGAGGTGCACCTGAGCCTGAGAGCCCCCTACAAGCCTGCAGGATCCCAGCAGGCTTCAAGGTCGGTAGAACAACTGCTCACCTGTTTTCCTTCTTGCTGTAAGCCAAAAATCTTATTAGCTTGATAAAAGCTGAAAGCACTCTGAAGTCTAGCATTTATTAGTGTGAAATCTTTATGATTCTGCTTTATTATATTGAGGCGGGGAGAAAAAATGTGCAGTTTCCAGGATGGGAGGTAGGAGAGAGCTGAGCTGAGCTGTTTGAGGAGAACAGAAGCAAATAACCCACACAAACAGAGCCAGAGCCTCGTGCTCCCGAGCTCTCCCTTTATCACTGTAAGAGCCGGGCGCTGCCCCAGAGATGCACTTTGGGTAGGATTTAGGCATTCTTGCTAATGTGGTTGTGCACTTATTAAATAATCCCAAAAAGTTGCCATTTCCCATCCCCTGTTTAAAATTCCTTCCCATTTCAATTATTTTTAAGGGTCACCCTCATAAATCTTTCTCATCTCATTCACTCGGGTGCCCTGGAAAGCTGCAGCTTTGCCGTTCCTGCCGAAGAAGGACTCTCAGACCAGAGCCGAGTTTCTCCTTTGTGTTCTGAACCCTGATCAATATGCACCGAATACGTGAAAAAAGAAGGGGAAAAAAAGGTAAAAGCAACCGCTGCCTTTGCAAAGCTTCTTCAACATTGCTTAGCACGGGAGACCTGCTTCTGGGAGCGAAATCCCTTCCACGTGAGCGAGGAACCGGCCGATGCCATGTGCTGGGGACGGCGCGGGGCAGGCCAGGGCCCCACACCGCAAACCCCGACTGCGCTGCCAGCCCCGGGAATTGTCAACACAAATCGTTATCGCCGCCAATGCCAGGCTGCAATTAACCTTGTCAGTCAGTGGATCACCCTCCGCTGCCTGTGCAGCACCACCTCAAAGCTGCCAATCACGCTGCCCATGAATAATTAATCAGACAACAGATTGCGCTCCCAGGAAAGGCGATCCGGTCCCTTTGAGCACCAATTAGTCCCGCTGGGCAAAAGAGGGAGAAAATAGCAGAACAGCGCGAGAGGCTTCTCTGCCCAGGCCCCTCGCCTCTTCTACAGGCACCTTGAAACGGTTCAGATCTTCAGCTCAGAGGAGGAAACGGTTTTTAACCTGTAGTTGGCTCAGCAAAATTGCATTTTAAGGCTGTAATTATACATCTGCAGTGCTTTCCTGATCCTGGGTTTCCCAGCTCTGATCCCCATGGTGTGCCGGCAGCAGGACAGCAGACACGCACGGCCACTGCTCTGCCATGCTCCCAGGAAGGACTCAGCCAAGTTTGGACCTAAACGTTGTGAACCAAACACACCTGATCTCCTTAATGAAGGTCTGGGGATGGAACCAAGAACATGATCACAACATGACCCCCAGTGGAAGGGAACGAGGATCATTACACAAAGGAAGGGGGCACGTGGCAGAGAGCAGGGTTGGATGAATCGTTACCAAGACCTCGTATGCTGCAGAAAGATTTCAGGCACCGACCATGCCATCCTTTTAAGCTAACTAGAGCACAAGGGTGAAAAGCCTTATTTCCATCCTCCCCTGCTGCCCAGAATTTCCTTCCAGTGTCCACACACGTGCTGTTTGTCCACATCATGGCTTTTATTCTACTAACGCATTTATCCTTCTCCCTGCGCTTTGTTGGATGCCCCCCTCACTGCTTCTTCATGGCAAAGCGTTGCTCTTCAGCAGTGGAATTTGTAAAGCAGTGACTTCAGGTTGTAGGAAGGGCCTGGGTTTCACTCCAAGTACTTCACTCACACTGCTCTCTTCTTGTGGCCTAGCTGAAACTGCTCCGAGAGACATAATTAAAGTGTTTAAGAAGCATCTGTCATTATTAAAACAAAGTTGCTTTGCAATTTTACTATTTCGCTGCAGTTTCATTATCTTATGTAAATGAGCTGTCTATTCTCTTCTGCAGCGTGGGCTGCAGCAGGATAGAAGCCCCAGTGAGACAATTTATTACCAGCCTCTCACTCTTGAGATTATCAATTGCAAATGAAGGAGCATAAATACGTCTTCTTTAGCTGCTTATGCCACATTAACGAATATGCTCCAAGCTAATGGCTTTGCCACTCTTTGTCTGCTCAGATGGGAGCAGAGCACGGGGGGAGGACTCCTTTGGATCACGGAGGCTTTAGAGAGGCTTGAGGAGCTTGGTGTTAGCAGCAGGTTGTTGCAAGCCACCCTGCAGATTGTGGTGCAGCCACACGAGGTACCGCAGGTGGATTGGTTTGGCTCCTGGATGAAGTCTGGTCCTCTTGATGCACTACAATGTGATCACACCCCAAAGCCCTGCTGTGTTTCCAGCAGTACAGCTCGTTCATACACATCAGAATCCCCATTTTGCCTTGCTGCCCTGGTGTTTCCAGAGCACAAACTCCACGCATGTACACCTCCAGAAGAACTTCCCAGATCCTTGCGATGTTCACCAGGGGGTGGTGGCAGGATCTGGCTCCGGGTGTCCAGGTTGTGGCACCAAACCCGCAGCAGCCCCAGCCCTCAGCACAGAACATCAGCACAGAGGCAATGAGCTAAGTAGACCGGCCGCAGACATCCAGGCTGAAGGCTGCTATCAGTGATCTGATGGGCTGCCAGGCCCAGGCTTTCCCCTTGCTGTGACGGGGATGTCCCCGTGCCCGGCTCCTCAGCACCACGGCCGCTGCGGGTCTCCTCGCAGGGTGCCAGGCCCCCGGCAATGCCCGAGGTACGTCTCCTTCGGAGTCCTTTTAGCAGACAGAAACGGTGGCTAAAGCAGCGCCATCCAAACCTGGCAGCCGGCACGCAAACATCCATCAGAAGTGGGTAATTGATGCTGTCTAGGGCCAGTTTATTGCAATCAATACCGAGCTCTCTTTACATCGGCATTCACCACAGCCCTCTTATGCTGCAGAGGGTTAGAAAATGTTATTATCCAGACAAACCCCTAATTCCAACAAATTCGATTACCCAGGCAAATGAAAATAACACAAACAAAACCGTCTGAGATTCTGATGGCTGAATTGCTTGTTGGGGGCTTTATTTATTTATTTCTAAGGGGATTTACAGTGCACGCCGTGGGCACGTCAGGTTGAAAAGCAGTATGGAGCTGGCTGCCCTTTGGCATCAGCTTTCCTGAACACAAAGCACTGATTATCCTAAACATCGTGCTTCAAATGACTTCTCGGAGGGCCCGGCCCTTCCAGACTAATTGAGTGAGGCTTTCGCTCCCTCTCATCTCCTTCAGCCCCATCTGCAGCCAACAGGCATGTTCTGCGAGCTCCAGGCACCCTACTTGGATCTAAAGAACCGCTTAAACGGCCGTGAATTGTAAATACCAGATTTGGAAACCTTCTGAATGTGTTCTCACTCCCTCTACACTTTTTGCAGTAGATGCTGATGGCCAGGAAGGTCTGGTAAACAAATTTACGATCCCAAATGTTTTCTAGAGCAGCACAATTCAGACAGATGCTGCAGAGAGGTCCCAGCAAGTAAAGCTGGAATTTTTACGCCGCTCAGAGTAAGGTTGGATGAGACAGTCTGGCCTCAGTCACCACCAGACATGTGCCAGGTGATTGCTGTATTCAAGCACGAGAACCAAAATTTCAATTTTCACACCCCTGAAAGCTGTCACAGCGCTCCTTCAAAATGAGCTACCAAGCAAGGATGATTGATGAAGTAAACAACAGAGCTGGGTGGAAAGGGCAATGTTATTGTTTTTCACGGAGAAAAAAAAAATAATTTTCATTACAAAGCCTCCAATAAGAATTTAAAACCAGCCTAAAATTGTTTAGATGTTCTCAAAACACTACGGTGAGTGAAATTCACTCTCCCTGCTCAGGAGCGGGGACGGTGGCATGGCCATGGCAGATCATGGGCACAGGGCCACCGCGCTTTGCTGTGACCTCTTCCAACACGGGATCAGCTCCCAGCACGCCAGAACTTCCCAGGAGTTAGCATGCTACCTCCCACGTGGAAAAAAAAAAAAAAAACAAAAAAACAGAAGACTAAACATAACAAAAATCTTGTGCGAATGGGGTGCTGAGAGCCAGGTGAGGTGCAGTGCCTGTGGCTCCTCACTGGGACCAGTGCAGCTCACATTCCCAGGGCCCCACACCAAACCAGGTGCTTCTGGCTTCTACATCACAGCGGGATGTTGCCCACCCGTGACTGCAGGTAAAAATAAGTGTAGGTCACTTAACAGCAACTAAACGGCGCAGCCAGTTCTGCTAAAGATGTTAAGAAAGGCCAGCTGTCCCCATCGCAAAGAGAATCAGTAGCAAATTGGGAGGCAAGGAGATTCGTAATACAGGCTGAAGCAAAACAAAAATTGTTTTCTGTTCTTTCACTTTCCTCCTTTTTCTTTCTTTCCTCCCTTTCATGGCTTTCAGAACAGTCGAGAAACAGGAAAACCAGACACACCCCAAAGAATAATGTTGCACTAGGCCACTGCAGTCACTCAGCATTTCTGTCGGGCTAACTAACTCTCGGCGCTCTCGTTCCAGAAGTCAGGACCTTGCCCATCAGCATCTCACATGGCTCTGCTCACCCTG